ATGATCATTTAATAAAACAGAAATGAGTCCCTATTAAGAAAAGGAACAGAAAAAAGAAAGCTTTCGTAGTAGCAACTTGGAATAAAATCTGGCATGCCTGAGGTTGCTGGGGGAGAGGGGATGTCTGTTTTCCTTTGTCTTCCTTTGGCTGCCTACACGCACTTCCATCCCTTCTGCATAGACTCTGTCCCCTCCCCTGACCTAGGCCAGAGACACTGATGTGCAGCAGGTTATTTTAGTCAGTTATGACCTTCCCACCAACAGGGAACACTATATCCACAGAATCGGTCGTGGGGGATGATTTGGCCATAAGGGTGTGGCTATTAACATGATGACAGAAGCCAAGAGGATTCTTTGAGACATCAAGACCTTCTACAACACCCCATTGAGGAGACACCCCTCGATGTCGCTAACCTCATCTGCGGGGCTGTCCTGCTACCTAGCGAGACCCCGGGTTGGAAGGGAGCCAAGGGATGGACATCTTGTCATTTTTTTTTTCTTGAATAAATGTCACTTTTTGAGGCAAAAAAAAAAAACACGAAAAAACAAAAAGCAAGCTTTCCTTTAAAAATGCCAACCAATAAATGTAGAAAGAATGGCAGGATTAGGAGACACAGGCTACCATCATAGTAATTCAGCCAAGAAACTGCAACACAGATGCCAAACTAGTTTGATGAGGAATGGGTTATTTACCCGATTTCAAAGCACAACCCCACAAGATGCTTATTAGTAACTTTTCAGTGGAGAAACCCAGCAGATACCATCTCCATTAAGTCATCAAGGTTAACATCACCACTAATAGGGTGACTCAAAAATCATGTTATCCCGACAGGATGGGAAGAGCACAGCATCACTTGATACTCCTGCCAGAAATGTGTAACCTGGAATCCAACCATGAGAAAGTATCCACAAACCCAAATTGAGGGACAGTCTGCAAAACAGCCTGTAATCTTCAAATGTCAAGGTCATTAAAACAAACCTGGATTGTTCCAGACTACAGGAGATGGAGACAGGACTACTAAGTGCAACTTTTTTCTGCTGATAGAAGATTATTATTGGGGTCACTGGGAAAATTTGGTTATCTGTGGATGGTAGTGTTTTCAGGTTAATTTTTATTTCTGATGGATTTATTTGGTGATCTAGAACAGCTTCAGTTATAGAATTATGCATTAAAATATGCAGGAGTGTTGGGACATCACTTTGCAACCTATTCTTAAAAAGTATTCAGAAAAAAATGGACTATTCTTGCAATATTCTTGGTAATTGGTACTTTCCTTTAAATTTGAAATTATTAGGGGCACCTGGGCAGCTCAGTCAGTTAAGCATCGGACTTGATTTCGGCTCGGATCATGATCTCAGGGTTTTAAGATCCAGCCCCACGTTGGGCTCTGAGCTCAGCAGGGAGTCTGCTTGAGATTCTCTCTCCCTCTGCCCCTCCCCCAGCCCCCTCACCCCTGTTCTCTCTCTCAATTCTTAAAGTTCTCTCAATTTCTTTTGTGTCAAACATTTAAGGGTACAATAAAAAAAGAAAATGAAACGATTTTGCTAAAAGTCAAGATCCTTTTAATTTTTTAGAAAGAGGTTACTTAGAGGGGAAACAGTGCTTAAAATTCCACAGAACTAAAGTTAAGTGGAGACCATGACCAAATAAATACATAACAAGGACTCGTTGTGATGCTCTTTAAAGCAGTGTTTTTGAATCAGGTAAACATCCAAAGAAAGAGGATTCTTCTTGATGTGCTTCTTGCTGAACAAAATTTGTATTCACCTTTGTATGTACCAACTGCCTAGCCTAGGTATTTGAACTCTGAAATAATTTAATGCAACTCAAACGACACTTTAACACATATAATACTTTTCTTGATTTCTTACATTCATATATAACAAATTCTTGATGCCTTTAAATTCATGATTCCCATGACCATTTCAGTTATGATAAATTACAAAATGGCAAGAAAGATCCTTTGAGATCTCAAAGAAAGAAACCAGAGGAAGGGGCGCCTAGGTGGTTCAGTTGGTTAAGCATTCAACTCTTGAACTCAGCTGAGGTCTTAATCTCAGGGTCATTGAGTTCAAGCCCGGCATTGGGCTCCATGCTGGGCATGGAGCCTACTTAAAAAAAAGAAACAAAACAAAACAAAACAAGAAACAAAACAAACTTGAGGAAAGTATGTATGAAAGGCCTTCACAAATATGAAGGACAATTATTAAAATCTTGATAAAAAGCAATCTGTCCTAGGTTCAAGGTTCAAGTCTGAATCCTTGAACTTTCCAAGATCAAGACACCATTTGCATATGTTCTTTTTTAAAAAACTCCAATGAACTCCTATCATGTCAGGAGCATCAGCATCATCTCAGCCAGCACCAGACAGAAGAGGCTTGCGATATTTGCACTGAATCCAAACCCGGTACATTGTCAGCTGTTTCCCCCGGTTCACTTGCAATCGGCGATCCACCAGGTTTTGAACCTTTTCCAGTCCAGCAGTAGTGAAAAGCGTATCCAGCTCCTCTGGTTTGGAAAAGAGATGTTTATATATTTTCCGCTGAAGAAAAAACATGATCTACCACTTCCTATGTTTCATGGGGCTCCGTGAGACTGTTTTTATTTATATATTTTAAGTGGCTGGAGCCGTGCTGTTTATTTATAAGTGTGGTAACAGTTTGGTAGTGGCAAGTTCACATTTAAATGGGGGAAGCCGAACCGTCTGGGAAGGGCAGCTTGGTATCCCGAGCGAGAGCTGAAGAGTTGGCTGACGGGGAGGAATTTTCAAGAAGGGCTTCACGGACACCTTAAGATTACGTGCAAAAATCTACATAAATGTAATGTCAAAGCCACTTTTTTAGGGGAGAGATTCCTCCACTTTCACCAGAGGCTCAAAAAAGTATGTGACAGAATAAAGGACCCAGGAATGGCAGTGGGCACGTGGGCAGGGCCGGCCGCAGAGGAGAGCCATTCTGGGTTACAGCCGGAGCCAGGGAGCACGGGCCTGGCTCCGGGGCCCCTACGGGGTGACCCAGCCTTCAGGGTGACACCAGTCGTGTCCGCAAAATGGGGCAGGTCTCCTGTTTTGGACAAAGGGATTGGGAGGAAGAGCGGACCGCAGGAGGGCCATGCGGAGGGCTGAAGGCTCCTGTAAGTGGAGCCTGTCTGCAGAACAGCGAACGGGTTCCGGGCAGCTGAGCGCAGGGTGGCAAAGGCCCCCACAGGTGGGAGGGCCCAACAGTCTTACTTCTGAGAGTACACGGAGCAACGTCTGAGCTGGTGTTTGGGGGCCTACTGGCGTACACAAAGATGAGCGTTTTCATACCTTGTGTGAAGAAGTAAACTCTAGTACCGTCACCTCTCACGTAGAAATTTTCAGACAGACACTGACCTGTGGAGCGATGTGATAAAAATGAGAGAAACTTTAAAGTACTTCTTTGAATTTCACTGCCAATCAAATGTGCATTGTGATACCGATTTCTTGGGCAGAGAACAGAAGCCTTTCTTGGCTACTCTGGGCACCTTGCAGGAATTGGCAGTTTCGCTGCTATGAAGGAGTGGTGCTTTGGAGCGAGCAGCCCCGGGGGCGCCATCAACCGCAGTGTTTGATCACACGGGCGATCCTCAGTCTTCTGTTCTAGAGCTGTTTCCTGTTGCAAACAGTGTTTCCCTCCTCCCTCATTCAATAAATACCACATACTCTTTGTAAAACAAAAATAAATAAACAAAAGACAGGGACTTTAGCTATGCTGAAGGGAAGAAAACTTGAGCCACTGGGACCACTTCCCACGTCTCTCCATGCATCCACACACACTCACAAATACAACCCGCGTGCTGTTTTTATCATGGACGCTCTCCCCTCAGCTGCCAAGCCCTCTGACCTAATGTCAATTTACTAACCTGGTAGGTGATTCTGCACCTTTGGAATGTCAATATAATCTTACTTGCTTTACTTTGCTTATTTCTCCCCAGCCACTCTCGTATGTGCGATCAAGTTTAAAACAGTCACCTGCACACTGCTTTTCTCATCTGGGAATGCAGAATGGAAACCCCGCCAGGACTGCCAGTGTGGGGCCCACCTCATGCGGCAGGCACAATGCTCCCCTCTCCAGAGGCATTCACTTTGTTTCGAAGATTTTGCCTACATACACATTACATGCTAGTTCTTGAGTGATTCCCCAAAGGACTGTTAGACTGAGTAGATAACACCAGTGCGCTTAAAAAATAACACAAAAACCCCCAAACAACCCAAACACCATTAACAGGTTGTTATTTCTACGGAGAAGTGTATCTCCTTTTTTGAAATGGCCAGTGGTAGGTTTAAGAAGTGGTTATCTCACTCTAAGATTTGTTACCTTCAAGTTTGGTTTTGGCCATTTGGATTTGCCCTTCTGTCAATCAACTCTAAAATTTTCCTTCCCTTTTTTTGGGTGGGTTGCTGATCTCCTTATCAATTTACCAACAGGCCCTTGAAGAGCAGAGATAATAATTGAGTCTTTATCTGTTCTAGGCACCGAAATTATTTGTCTTTCAAATTTTTCATGGCATCTTTTGCCATGCCACATTTAAAATTACTTATGTAATCAAATCTTTTTCCAAAGGTAGCTATTTTTTTTTTTTAAGATTTTATTTATTTATTTGACAGAGAGAGACACAGCGAGAGAGGGAACACAAGCAGGGGGAGTGGGAGAGGAAGAAGCAGGCCTCCCGCCGAGCAGGGAGCCCGATGTGGGGCTCGATCCCAGGACCCTGGGATCATGACCTGAGCCGAAGGCAGACGCTTAACGACTGAGCCACCCAGGAGCCCCACCAAGGTAGCTATTCTGAAGGTAGCTGTCTTGGTTAAAAGATCTCCCAAATACCTAGATTATACAAATCTTCAAAAACATACCACCCTTGTCATGTATTAAGTAGTTTTATATATGGAGCTACAATTCTAGAGTTTCTATTCGATTTCACTGACTTCTAGGTCTATTCTGATGGCAAAACTGTTGCTTTGGTAATAGTAGCAAAATACCTTTTTTAAACCGAAGTTGAGCCATGTCATAGCGGCCATAATCTCGCAGAAGCATCATCCCTCCGGGCTTTAGAAGCCTGCTCAGCCTGTTGATGGCCTTCTGCATCCTGCGGGGCAACACAGAATGAAGATCAGGTCTCCTTAAGGACAGGATTCCTTTTCCTTGTAGCACGCCTGGAAAAGCCAGTGGACTTCCTAACCTTGACAAACGAACCCCGACATCTCAGCTCCTCTGCTCTTGCTTCAGTGAGAACGGGAGCACATACCCAAGCTTCTCAGGTGCTTCTGCTGTCTGCTCGTGACCGTGGCTTTGACCCACTCCCTCCACCAGGAGGAGGCCTGAGGATAATCCGCTTCTGCCGGAGGGCTCCACTTAAATACTCTGCGTCTGGCTTACTTCCTACTCCTCCTGGGATGGCCTCATGGGGAAGCCACCCGTCCTGTGCTTCTGGGGCTCTGGGAGCACAGCCCTGAAAACCTGCGGTGAGGACTACTAGTTAGCTGACTCATCCGCCTGCCCCCAGGCCTGAGAGCTCTAAAGGCAGAGACTGTACCTTTCCATTTGTTAAATGAAGACGAAACCTCAAGCACTTACAGTTTACATGGTGAGTCAGAATGCAAATGGGTGCCCCTGGCAGAGCGCTTTACCTTCTGACTGCACTTCCCACACGCAGGCTTAGTGCCGGTTTCGCCTGTACTAACCTTGGAAGTATCAATGCTACAAAGTCTACTTGAACACTGAATAGAGAGTTTTTAATTTAATTTAATTTAATTAATTAATTTATTTTTAAGGTTTTATTTATTTATTTGACAGAGAGAGACACAGCGAGAGAGGGAACACAAGCAGGGGGAGTGGGAGAGGGAGAAGCAGGCTTCCCGCGGAGCAGGGAACGTGATGCGGGGCTCGATCCCAGGACCCTGGGATCATGACCTGAGCCAAAGGCAGATGCTTAACGACTGAGCCACCCAGGCACCCTGAGAGTTTTTAATTTTAGTGTTTTATTTCAGTCCACGTCAGTTTTTAAGTTTGTAGCATTTAAACTTTCCACTGATATTTTATCTATCAATCAAACTCTACCCCCAACGCGGGGCTTGAACTCACAACCCTGAGATCAAGAGTCACATGGTCTACTGACTGAACCAACCAGGTGCCCCGAGACTTCTGCAGTTATGAATGTTTAGAACCATGCCTGGCTTTTTGGGCTGCCTTGCACCTGCCTTTCTGCACGCTCACAATATCCCTGTCAGGTCAGATGACTCAGTGCTCTCCTCAAGGAAATGTGGGACAGAGACAATCGCTCGCTCCTCTGGGTCTCTAGCTGACGCTGCTTCCTGAGGACAGTATCTCATCAGGACAGCTGGCTGCCCACGTCTAAGAACCTTACCAGTATCTCGCAGGGTTCGGCACCTAAACCGCATTTTATGGATTTTATGGAATTCCCCTGTACTGCAGTTTTCCAAAGAACTTAAACATAAAGGAACACCCGCGTTAAGCTTCACTATAAATTCTGTTGTTAATAAGCCTGGTTTACCGAAAGCATTTAAAAAGCCCAATGAGGGGCACCTAGCTGGCTCAGTTGGGAGAGCGTGTGGCTCTTGATCTCGGGGTTGTGGGTTTGAGCCCTATGCTGGGCGTACAAATTACTTAAAAATAACATCTTAGAGATTTATTTACTTATTTTTTAAAGATTTTATTTATTTGAGAGAGAGTGTGAGCGACAGAGACAGCACAAGCAGGGGTGGGGCGGGGGAGGGGGGAGGCAGAGGGAGAAGCAGACTCCCCGCTGAGCAGGGAGCCCGATGTGGGGCTCGATCCTAGGACCCCGGGATCATGACCTGAGCCGAAGGCAGATGCTTAAAAGACTGAGCCACCCAGGTGTCCCTTAAAAATAACATCTTAAAGTAAACTAAAAAGCCCAATGAGGGGGCAGGTACTAACAGCTGGGGTTCTAAAACAGCGGGCTGCGATTATCAGCAGGGGTCCCTCCCCACACCCAGTAACGCTGCTCTCCCATCCCCCGGGGATGCTCAACCATAGCACCGAAAAGAAGAACCAACCGCTGCAGCCAACAGACAGAGGTTTAGAGGCAAAAATGTTTAGGAAAAGGGTTGAGACACTTGTATCACTTTGACAGAATGGCTTTTCCCAGCCTTTCAGATCATCCTGCTTACTTAGGGTCCAACCCTGGTATCAAGGTCCCTGACCCAAGCTTTGTTCTGTGACACTACTGGCTAGGGGACCTAAAACTTACTTGTCTGGAACAACGGCCGAAAGAACAAATATGAGGATGATGATGTCGAGGCTCTCCCCGGGCACTGGGTAACTCGTATCTTCATCACACAGATCGTGGACAAAGGCAAAGCACCGACAAGGATCGTATGCTGAATCTGTCTGCAGACAGTTGAGACACATAGGTTAGAAAACGTTCACACAGCCCGGAGGAAAGCTAATCTTGCTTTAAGTGTAACCGCTGCTCCGGCTGCTGAGGGCTATCGCTCTCATCAAGACGCACGCCTTCTTACTCAAAGCCTAAGAACGTCCAACAATTCCAGGGACAAGCCTGCAGAATCCAACTGGTATTCTTATTTATCTATTTTTTAACTTTTTTTTTTTTTTTAAAGATTTTATTCATTTATTTGAGAGAGAGAGAGTGCACGCGAGAGAGAGAGCATGAGCAGGGAAGAGGGGTAGAGGGAGAAGGAGAAGCAGACTCCCCACTGGGCAGGGACCCTGCCGTGGAACTCAAGCCTGGGACCCTGGGATCGTGACCTGAGCCAAAGGCAGACGCTTAACCCACTGAGACACCCAGGCACCCCCCAACTGGTACTTTTAAAACGGACTGTTTTGAAGGTGCCTGGCTGGCTCAGTCGGTAGAGCACGTGACTCTTGATCTCAGGGTCGGGAGTACAAGCCCCATGTTGAGGGTAGAGCTTACTTAAATTTAAAAAAAAAAAAAAAAAAATTTTTTTTTAAATAAAATGAATGTTGGGGGGGTGCCTGGGCGGCTCAGTTAGTTAAACATCTGACTCTTGATTTCAGCTCAGGTCATTATCTCAGCATTGTGAGATCGACCCTGCGTTGGGCTCCATGCCTGGCGTGGTGCCTGCTTAGGATTCTCTCTCTTCCTTTGCCCCCCCGCCCCCCACAGCCCCCCCTCACACACACACTCGCCTTCTCTTAAAAAAAAAAAAAAAAAAAAAAGGAATGTTCTTGATTCTTCTACTTTTATTCTTTACTCTAATGCATAAAGTTAGATTTGAGGACTGGAAAGTGATCAGGAAGGTAAATGACCACAAGCAAAAAGAAAAATCTCATCAGGAGAGAGAGAAAACATACTGACATTTAAAATCATGATTTAAAACAACTCCCGGGCGCCTGGGTGGCTCAGCTGGTTAAGCGACTGCCTTCGGCTCAGGTCATGATCCTGGAGTCCCGGGATCGAGTCCCACATCGGGCTCCCTGCTCGGCAGGGAGTCTGCTTCTCCCTCTGACCCCCCCTCCCCATGTGCTCTCTCTCATTCTCTCTCTCTCAAATAAATAAATAAAATCTTTAAAAAAAAACAAAACAAAAAACAACTCCCAACCCAACTATAGCATATTACACCGATCACAGAATTCTCCAGGAAAATGTATTAAATGTGGAAAATTTAACTTTATATTTTATTGTCATAAAATTAACCAAAGAAAAAAATAAATAAAATTAACTAAAGAAAAGCTCAATATTCACCTGGTCTACATCCATAAAAGTAACACTCCAGAAAGACACGAATTGCCAATTCCAGACCTCCTATGCTAGGAGCATTAGACATGACTGTAACCAACACATTTTAGGGTAATTTCTCTTTCTGTATCTCTCTTCTCCAAAAATGTGACTTTGTTCCTCATTGGCCACAGCTAATTCAAACACAGCAAGTAGATTATCAGCTGGGCCAGGTCAACCAGACTCTTTCTAGGGACTTTGGAATCAGGACAAGTCATTCTGGTGAGGTTCTGAGAATGCCTGAACAGGGTGGACATGTAAGGGGGCAAGCACGTTGGTGTCATGAGACCAACCTATTACAGAAAGCTGGTAAAGAGGAAAACAAAGGGCAAACGGCTCTGGGCTATGCGATAGGAAACCATGAGCTTGAGGGAAGTATTGTGACAGGAGGAGGAAGGAGTGGAAACGGCTCACCAGGAGCCAACTGCCCTTGGCATCTGCCACCTTTTCGGGGCTGAGTGCCTTGGCTACACTTTATGCCCTTGGGTTCTATGACCTTCTTTCACTGAATGAGTTTGTCTGGGTGTGTCTGTGACTTGTAACTCAAAGAACCCCGACTAGAAACAATCTTCTCATTTTAATCCTTAAAACCTACGTTTGGAGAGGGCAGGAGACTTGCCCAAAGTTCCACAACTGGCCAGTGACAGGTTCCACGTTCATGCTCGGTTCTTTCCTCTACTCGGGCTGTTCCAGCAAGTCTTTTACTTTCAGACCACATAAGAATAATAGAAATTTGCTAGAGACCTTTCCCCTTTAATCAGTGAAAATTACAGATAGGACCCAATGCACTTACCTGGACCAGTTCTACAGCCGTGGAAGAAAAATCACAACAGTAAACAAAAAGTCCCGGATCTCTGAAACGGGCAGAAAAAACAGTAGAACAACTAAGACTGTCAACTGAATTATGTCCGTTCTCTTTCCTGTGTAGCAAACTTAAAATACCGGAGGCCCCGTATATTGGCAGTGGAGCAGGTTTTGAAACTCACCAATTTCCCTGATGACAAAGATAACACAGAAATCGACATCTTGTCACCCATGGTTCCCAATAACCATTATTCCCAGTTTGTTGAAGTAAGTTCTGAGAAACAACACACCCCCTTCTCCTCTTTGCTATCCTATAGGTAAAGTTTACAACACACTTACCTGTTAGTTTGTAAAATCGGAAAGACTGTGTTTCCCACACCACAACCAACCTGCGGACAGAAAAGAACTTTTAGTTACACGGCTTTCAAGGAATCAATTCCCTAGAGCTAGATAAATAATCAACAATAATCTTGCTTAATTGTATTAGTAGGGAAGGTGCAGTGACCAGAGCTAAATAGTAGCCACGACATTCCCCAACCTTGACCTCAGGAAGTCTAAAAGAGGTAGCCATAAAAGACAAGAGCATTGGATTCTCGACAGCAGAAGGAAGCTGGTGTGGAAAAAAGGGCATGGATTGCTTTTACTTTTTGAGTTTTAGCAAATGGTCCTAGAGATGAAATATTTTTTTTCTCATTAATACAGTACTTATTTGTCTTCCCTCGGTCAAACCCTGAGCCAACCACTTTCCCTAGGCTGCCTGAGGAGGTACAGGAAAAGGAACATACAGGGCAGACGAGACACGGGAGAAAGACCTATGGGAGGTGGAGACAGCTCCTGCCCATGACAAAGAGAATGAGAAAGGCCACCATCAGCCCAAAGAGCCCCATGGCCCCTGAGAGAGCAGAGCCCAGAAGGGCGTAGAAGAGTTGTTGCCTCAAAGAGGGGGGGATTCCTGGCATGACCAGTGATGAGGCTCCCAAACACAGTCCCAATGCCCGCCCCAGAGCCAGCCACACCGACGGCGGCAGCCCCAGCCCCGGTGAACTTGGCTGTGTCGATATCCCTTGAAATGGGACTGGTTCGGAAGCTGCAGCTAGTAATAAGTGAGGGGAGGGGCCGTGGGGCTGCCAAGCTGCGGAGGCTCTCAGCTGTCACGTCTCGGGTGGTTTTAGCATCGCTGCAGTGATCGGCTCAACAGCTGGGAGGGGCTCCTGACCGAGCAGGGGGTGGAGACGAACTCTGCACAGGTGCACATTGTCAGGGGATGAGGGGCTGTGGCAGGAGAGCTGCTCCCGTGCAGGGAAGACAGGGCAGATGAAACAGTCTCTTACTGAACTGCACTGTATCATTATTGGAAACCTGCAGAAAAATTCATGAAAAGGGGACCATGGATTCCACTGTCCTAAACACGGTGCTGGGTGTGCTAATAACAGTGACCCTTTGGGGTTGGGCGTCTGACTCTTGGTTTCGGCTCAGGCCATGATCTTGGGGTCAAGGGATCGAGCTCTGCGTCAGGCTCTGTGCTCAGTGCAGAGTCTGCTAGAGATTACCTCCCTTTCCCTAGCCCTCTGCTCCTCCCCCTGCTCTCACATGCGCGCTCTCCCTAAAATAATAAATTAAAAACAAAATAAAAAAATCCCCAAACCCAAAAAAGACAGTGACCATTTACTAAGGGCTTGCTACATGCCAGGCACTGTTTTTAGCCATTTTACGTCGTTATCTCAATATATGTCATTCTCATAACTACCATGAGGCAGACAGAGAGGCAGAAGTCCCCTTCTGCTTGGGGAGGGGAAGGGACTAGTAACAAGGTCAGGCTGGAGGACTCAACCCCAAGGCTAATCAGCTTCCAGCCGAGTGTACAGTCACCGCTTCTCAATCTGCATTACGGTACCCACCTAGACACGTTTCTGGGGGTAGTCTTGCCTCCGCAACACCACCCAAACTAGGAAGACAAGAACTCTCCCAAGCCTGAGAAGCAGGCACCATCGCGACTGACGTCCCCCCACCCCACCCCTATCTAATGTTACAAGAGAAGTAAAAGAATTTGTCCTGTGACTTGGGACTCTTGCAGGTGGCAGGTACAGCAGATCCTACAACGTGCAGAGGCAATAGGATGTCCCCAGGTAGCACCTCAGGTGATCTCTCTTTCTTTGCCACGACCACCGGATTATCTGGTCTGAATTGAGGACATATCATTAGTTCAAAAATGGAGGTTTTCTAGGCCAACATAAGAGTCAAGTCTAGTCAGCTTCTTCACACATAATCACTTCTGCGGTCAGCCTCTCGGTGCCACCCATGTGTATAATAAAACAGCCCCGTTAACCCCACTCTCAGGACAACTGAGGGGGGTTACCTCGAGTATTCTGTAGGTGGCCGAGGATCCAGGGAACTCATCAGCACAGATTTCCAGGCGGCTGAGTTTCTGAGTTACATCTCCTTCCACAGGAGGCATCTGTGTTTTATGTCCAAGGCTATCTGAAGAACACATGTGCTGTTCTTCTATCTTTAAACCAGGTCCGTCCTCCTTGCTCCTACCTTCAGGTACTTCACTCCTCTTGTTCTCTGAGAGCCAATCATTAAAGTCATTTTGGTCCGGGCTAGGTGCCAACTCTGGGAATTCAGTGAAAAGCCAATGTCTATCCTTGAAAAACCTGTTTTCGTGGATTTTGTAGAACTCATTCCAGTATTTGTAGGCATTGACTTCATAATCAACTGTAAATATTAAAGAATTAAGAAAACTCTCAATCTCTCAATATTTTATGTGTCCCTAATGTCAAATGTCATCCTGCTTCACCAAATGTCACTTTATACTAAAAGTATCCTCAAGTAGAGCTGGAATTCTGGCAGTCCACCTACCCTACCTGAATTCCCTGTGTCTTGTCCTTCTAGGGAGGAACTTCTACCAGGGAACTTATTACCAATTCTCCACCTACATCTTCAGGTGGCTCTTAGCTAATTAGAAAATTCTAACATTAAGGAAAAAAAAAATTCTAACATTAAGCAAAAAAATCTGTCTTCTGGTCAAAAAGTCCTACTATTTCTTAGGGCCATACAGAACAATTCTTTTGTATTTAAAGGCAGTTATTTTCCCCTCTAAATCTTCTCTTTTACAAGTGAAATGTCCCAGGTTCTTCAGGCATTCCCTATGTGAACTCAATGGTTAATGACACATACAGCTCTTCTTTAAATATACTCCTCTGTCTGTGGTTCTTTATTGAATGTGGAGCAAAGAAAGAATTCAATACTACTAAAAGATCCTAAAGACGGGACAAAGGCGGGAAAGGAGAAATGCTGACAAGAGGGAAAAATGTCTTCAGATGAGAAGAGTTTTGATGAGAGAGGACAGGAGAGACTTAAGGAGGGTAGACTGTTTCCACTATAGTTTAAGGTGATCAAGGCAGTGGGCAGTACTAGACTACAGTTTTCTGCTCTTTGACAATATAGGACCTCAACTAGTGTAGTAGAAAAGAAAAAAAAAATCTAAGAAATTGGATTTTAGTTCCACCATTCCTACTACTAACTAACTGCTTACCTCTGGGTAAGGCACTTAATGTCCTGTGGTTCAAGTTTCTTTAACTGTAAAAAGAGGATATTGGACTATATGATTTTCAAAATCCCTTTCAACTCTAACTTGCTTTGATCTAGTCTCTGTCGAACTATGTAAGGTGAATACTTTGTAACTGGAATCTTCTTACTGTTAAAGTGAACTGTGGGATACTACTCTCCCAATTTCTAGTCCTACTTTCAATTGTCATCTAGCACATAGGCTCAGCTAGTCCTAGTATTGGTATCTAGAGATATTTTGCAGTAAAATCATCCACCTCTCCGGAAGAGGTCTCTTTTTCTTTGGCCAGACTTACCTACACTCCTCTTCACCCAGCTTTCCTTGGCAGAAGCCCTAAAATCCTCATAGCCATCACACAAGGAAAAGATACAAAATTCACCAGTCATTAGCTCCCCCCCCCCCAATACTTAGAATCTGATCGCTAGAATCTAGCTTCAATGACAACATTTCCTCAGCTAGGGTAATCATATAGACGAGGCACAGCATCCAAGTCGATCACGCGACCAAGCCAGTCGTATTAATATGGGTCTAGTCGACGTACTAAAAATTAATCCCTAGGAAATACATCAAGATACTGTTACTCCCTCTCAAATAAAGCCAAAACCCAAACTCCCTCTTCGCCCTAACAAGATTTTAGGGGGAAGCCCTTTTCCATCCTAACTCAGCCCCTCCCCTCCCGTGCTACCCCGGAGTTCGGGATCAGTCCAGTAACAAAGGCTCTCGGCGGTCTGGCGGCCTCTCCGGGAGAGCGCGTCTAGTAGTACGCTGGCTGCTGATACCACTGAGGGCCCACCTAGGCGCACCTTGCTTCTCCTGGCACACCCGCTGGGTACTGTTCTCCCGGACTTTCCTCTCCGCTGCCGCGGCCTGCTCTTCCGACCACTCCACATTGTCCCTGGGAAAATCAAACGGGCAGCTTAGGGGCCTCACGTCCCAGCTGCGGGCAGGCTGCGTCGCTGGCCACGCAGCGCCTCTCCCGTGGAAGGAGAGCGCCTCGAGCAGGGCAGCGCGACTCGTGGCCGGCGGTCAGGGCTTCTCAGAGCGCACGGGGCTGCGGGACAGAGGACAAGCCGGAGGCCGGACGAAGGGTAGGGCAGTTACCAGGCATTATGGTGGAAGACGCGCGCCGGATCGTTCAGGAACCTGCTTCCAAACTGCTGCCTCTTCGCGCCGACCACAGCCGGAGCGCGCTCAGGATAGGGGCCGGCCATGACACCGGAGCCGGATATGCCTACTTTTCCGACACGCGAAAACTTCCTGTGGGGCCACTCCCCCTTCCGGAAGTCGCGGGGTCTGGGCGGGAAAAGAGCAAGAAGGGGCGGGGCAGTTCTGAAGCCCCGGTCTGGGTTGGAGCTGGAGCTCCGCCCAATGGGGGCGGGCCCTAAGTTGGGGCAGCGCTCTCGGTGTTAAGGAGCGCTCGCCCACAGAATTTCTCTGAGCTGGCTTTTCCTCTCCCGGGAAAAGGGGTCGGTGGCGGTGCAGGCCCGCAGGAAAGTGGGAGACAGGGATCCCTGGGTGGTTCAGTGAGTTAAGCGTCTGCCTTCGGCTCAGGTCATGATCCCAGGGTCCTGGGATCGAGTCCCACATGGAGCTCCCTGCTCAGGGGGGAGCCTGCTTCCGCCTGCTGCTCTCCTTCCTGCTTGTGCTCGTGCTCTCTTTCTCACAAATAAGTAAATAAAATCTTAAAAAAGGGGCGCCTGGGGCTCAGATGGTTAAGCATCTGCCTTCGGCTCATGTCATGATGCCGGGGTCCTGGGATCGGGCTCCTGGCTCAGCAGGGAGCCTGCTTCTGCCTCTCTCCCTGCTCATGCTCTCTTTCTGTATCTCTCTGTCTCAAATGAATATATATATTTTTTAATCTTAAAAAAAAAAGAGTGGGAGACATTACGATTGAGTCTCCTTTTTATGCTGGGGTCCTCTAACAGGTTTCCCAGGTTCCCTCAAGTTTTAAGACGGGAAAAATCTTGAATCACTTTGAGAATTAAGGGTGCCTAGTTCCATTTAGACCTGATGGCAGAAGAATTTGAGGAAGAGAGCAAGCGGGCTGAGGAAATAAGCAGTTTTCCAGCTTCTGTAGTGGGCTTTTCGTAGTGTGAAAAGCTATGAAAAAGAATAAAAAATACTATTTTTCTGGGGAGGGGGATATGGAATGAATTCTGAGAACATGAGGTTAATTTATATAATTATATAATTTTTAAACTATGTTTTGTTTTTTTTTTTAAGATTTTGTCAGAGAGAGAGAGAGAGAGAGAGAGAGAGCACACAAGCAGGGGGAGCAGCAGAGGGAGAAGCAGGCTCCCCACCGAGCAGGGAGCTCTAGTCCGCTTGATCCTACTGATCAGAAGGCAGATGCTTAACGCACTGAGTCACCCAGGTGCCCCTATAATTACATAATTTATAACCACCTACTTCTTGGAATTATCCATACCCGAGCTTGTTCACACAATCAGGACTGTAATACAACACATAGTTTGTTATATTAATACATTTTCAGCCTTACATTTCTGTTTCGACAATTACTATAAACTGATTCTCAAAATAATCTAGAAGAAAGTATCCTGTTGATAATAAGGTTTAGTTGAGAAGAGTTCCAGGCGAGTAAGGACTACCATTTGGAAGAAGTTAAGGTAACGGTTAATTAGTTATTTAAGTGGTGCAGTACTAGATAGCCCACTGGTAACTAGTGATCATTTACTTCATTGAACATTCTTTCCATAGGCAAAACTGAAGGGAGCTATGAGAGATTCTGTATCTTTCTCAGAAAAGAAATGGGAACGAACAAGCCTTAAACCTCCCCTAATCACAAAGAAAAATACGTGAGTGAATCGAAAAAATAAGATAATAAAGAACTTGTACTTTATTCGAAAACACGTTTGCCATTCTCACGGTCTTTTGAAACATTTTGAACAAAACCTCCTTTCCAAAAAACAAGTACAAGGATTTTTATCTTTTCTCAAGGCCAGTTGTTTGATGTAGTGGTTGGTTTATATTTATTCTTGGCATCTTGTTCTCTCTTGCCCATGCTTTTTTCTCCCCACACCAAAAACTATTAACGCTCCTAGTCAGCAGTCCTACCGCATATTTCCTTGCATAGAGCTCACTCTCTGTTTTCCCCTGAAGTCACTTATTATATTAGTTCCAATAATTAGTCATTGAAAATGTCAAACAACTTGGTCCCTTTTGATGAAATGTGATAAAAGTATCCTAAACTTAATTTCTATACAATTATCTTTGGTTGACCTGTACAACTCATTTTTCTTCATCTTTGGGAGCACCTAAAATCATTTTTCTGAAGAAATTGGGAAGACATGGCTGTGAGTCCTTTGTAGTATCAGACTATATACTGGACTGTAGCTTCAGCAATACTTTTCAGGGGACCTAAGGGTCCCTCTGCTGGTGAGCCTCAAGAGCTTTTCTAGCTGGGTGGCATGGTTTCAAAGCCTGGAAAAGTTAACTCTCAGTCTGGATTATTGCCTTGGGTGTCAACCTGGGACATGGGTAGTTAATTATTTCATGCCTTTCTTTCAGTTCCGATCAGTGGAAATTCTGGTCTGTGTAAGCATGTGCTCTGGAACTGAAAGGTGGGGGAAGGGTGTCCTAATTTGTTTCACGGAACGTGCAGCAGCCCTAGAGGATTGAATATGCTGGTTTAACAACTTTAAACAGACTTTGTGGTTTTTTTCCTATTGCAAAATAAATATGTGTTTATTGTAGAACATTTAGACAAAAGAAAAAAAGAAACCACCCCATTCCATCCTTAATTTAATCCATTAAACACTTTGGTTTATATCTTTCCAGTCTTTTTTTCTAATTGACTTATAGAAGTAACCTTTACATTAAAATAGTTTCAGAACTGCGTTATCCCCTATTTTTCACAGCTTCATTGAGGTTTAGTTTACATACAATTAAATTCATCCATCTTAAGTGTACAGTTGGATACATTTTCATAAAAATCTATATTTGTGCAACTACCATCAAAATTAGGTTTTAGAACAACTCCGTAAAGTTTTCTCATGGCTCTGAGCAGTTGTAGCCTGTTTTATAAGTTGATAATAGTTTGTGAATATCATTCTCCTGCTTGAATGTTCTTTTCTAACATTGTTTTAATGACCCTGGTATTGTTTTATAGAGCTGTATCATGATTTGCTGGACATTTAGGCTACTTTAAGTTTCTTACTATTAAAAATCCAACATGATAATTATCTTTATAACTAAATCATTTGTATATTCATGATTACTTCTTTAGAAATAATTTCTAGAAGTGGAAGTACTGAGTCAGTGGTTATAATTAGCTGCATTACTCAGCTGTGAGGTCAGGGCATTTTACTGTTCATTCACTGTTACATATCCAAGTCCTAGAACTCGGGCCAGCACACATTATGCAACTCAATAAATAATTGTTGAATGAATGGCTGAATACCTGTTGCTATACTGTATTTCATCTGCAAGATGCTAGTTTCTACTGTCAACCACAGTGTGGGACAGATTGATAGACTGTATTACTATACATTTTAGATTTTCCAGAACAGATATACTTAAAAATATTCTCTCCTGTTATCCCATTGATCCAAGAAAATATCCCAGGAATTTTAATATTTTGGCATCCAAATTACATTTCTTAGATTGCCTATTACAGTCATAGCCATACCAAAAAAAATCTGTCAAACCTTAAATCTTGTTTTTTGGGTAGGAAGAGTGGTCATGTCTATAAGGTACTTTTTTTTTTTTTTTAAGATTTTATTTATTTATTTTTGAAAAGATTTTAGTTATTTATTTGATGGGGCGGCGAGGGGGAGAGAGAGAGCACAAGCAGGGGGAGCTGCAGGCAGAGGGAGAAGCAGGCTCCCTGCTGAGCAAGGAGCCCGATGCGGGGCTCTATCCCAGGACCCTGGGATCATGACCTGAGCCAAAGGCAGACGCTGAATGACTGAGCCACCCAGGCATCCCCAGATCTTGTTTATTTGAGAGAGACAGAGCGAGCAAGAGAGAGTGAGCAAGAGAAAGCACAAACGGGGAGGGGCAGAGGCAGAGGGAGAAGCAGACTCCCCGCTGATCAGGGAGCCTGACATGGGGCTCAGTCCCAGAACCCCGGGATCACGACCTGAGCCAAAGGCAGACGCTTAACCATCTGAGCCACCCAGGCGCCCTGCGCATCTTTATTAAATACACTAAAGAACAACAGCAACAAGTGTAATGGTGAGATCAACTGTTTTTAAGAGGGATTCAAGAGATCAGCCCTATGATGTGTGACTAAGGAGCCTTAGGAACACCCAAATTTAATCAAGATTCCCTGGGAGATGGTGATATTATTCCCTGGAACTGAAAGATCATTGTCATCTGCTGCCTCTGGCCTCTTTTGCAAATAATCAAAAACCCAATGTCACTTAAACTCATAAACTCAGATGCTTATTGCTGAGAGAGCCCTCAGGGGCTCAGAGGGGCATCCCTGTGTTGAGGTAAGTGCCCACGTGCAGCTTTTCTCCTTCTGCCCAGGCACTTTTGAGCCAGGTGGGGGCAGCAGAGCGCAGCCATTTGCTGGGAAGATAACCGCATGGCCTCTAGTTACTTGTTCAGAATTAGGAAAGGGAAACCACATTAGGACTTAAAACTTTTTTACTGGTCAGAATCCAAAAGATGTCAACATTTCCAGCTGCTAAGAATGTACTAGACAAAAGCAAGAAACCATAATTTTGATATCTATGAAAAAGTAGTTTGCAATGAGCTGTTTAGAAAATGTAGAAATTTCATTGTCGAAACCCTTTGAAACCTTTCCGTTTTCTTTTTCTTCCTGTCTCTGTGTCACACTCACTGATATCCGAGGAAGAAGAGAATACAGGGTTGTGGAAGGTATTCCTATTCATGTAGGCATCATATAACCTTAAGTCCTTCGGTGAAAGTAATTCTTGGCAAACATTCCAGGACCATGTATAGGTAGAAAAGGTGTCATAAAAGGACTCATTTTTAGTGTCTATTCCAATCAGATCCCCTCGGATCTTCCGCCAGAGGTTTAGCATGTCTTTCCGGTGCTCAAGGGCAATTCCCAAGTTATAGGCATCAGTAGCTCTCTTCACCTGCAGTGAGAGAACAGACATTTGCAGTAGTTAGCTTAACATATCTTTGACTTATGAACCACAATTCTAGACATCCCAAGAGTTACATTCCCAGGCTAGGTGAAAATCACCGAGTTTATCCATTGGGTGGAACCTCTAGAGGACATGTGAGTTAGGAGTTGATGGACAATCAAAATGTATGATTTGGGAATAATGAGATAAGACATTTATGACAATATTAAAAACACAATAAACTAAACCAAGGAGGAAATGTGGGATGGAGATAGTCTCTGGAGATAAAAGGAGTGCCAAGGATGGCACTCAATCCAGCCTAGGGCAGGGAGAGAGAAGATGCTGAGTAGTTCCTCGAGGATTTAACCGGATTGAGGGAGTCAGTGGTAATGGGAAGGTGTTACAGGGAAAGGAGAGAGCATAAACAAAGGCAAAGGTAATAAGCCTCTGGAGTTGGTAGGAGGCACCTGCATGTTGGTAGTGCTAAAATGTCGAGTTTTGAAAGTGAGAGGGAAGGAATGATGCAGGTAAGGCAGGCAAAATGTTGTCTGCTGTAGGGGCCCTTAGATTTGATCTCAGTGAGGCTGAGAGAGCCCTTTACTCAGTGAAAATCAAGCTGTAGTAAGTCACTACTTCTTTTCTCTCTTTCTTTCTTTCTTTCTTTCTTTCTTTCTTTCTTTCTTTTAAAGCATTCTTATTTATTTATTTATTTTTTAAAGATTTTATTTATTCATCTGAGACACAGAGATACAGAAGGAGAGAGAGAGAATGAGCAGGCGGAGAGCAGAGAGAGAGGGAGAAGCAGGCTCCCTGCTGAGCCAGGAGCCCAATGTAGGGCTCCATCCCAGAACCCTGGGATCATGACCTGAGCCGAAGGCAGAGGCTTAACCATCTGAGCCGCTCAGGCGCCCCTGTAAGCCACTATTTCTGATGGAAGTGAGACAAATCTCAGTGTGTGGAGCAGAAAATATAGTTGAGAAATCCTGCCATTGTTGAGAGGGAAAGATTCATTTGCAAGCAGGACAGGGATATAGCTACACCTTCACAATAGATCATTAGCAGCTGCGTGGAGAATGGGTGGAGGGGAGCAGCTGTGAGGCAGGGATAGGAGGTTGGAGTGTGTTGTCCAGGCAAGACCGAATGAGGGCCTCAGTTAAGGCAGTAGTGGTAGGATGAAGGGGATGGATTTGAAAAATCTTCAGGAGAACAAGAGTAGCCACAGTTGGTCATAGGTGGATGTGAGGAGTGAGGACAATATATAAATTAGGATGATTCCTCGCCTTCTAGTTTCATCGACAGGGTAGATAGTGGTATCAATACCTGATGTCAAGAAGAATCCCCAAGGGAAGAGCCAGTTTGATGCAGATGATGAGTTTGGTTTGGACATGTACAATTTGATATGCTGAGACAGTGAGGTAAAAATATTCATCAGGCAGTGAGATAAGTCAAAAATACTGGAGAGAAGTCTACACGAGTGACAAATTTAAGAGTTATCAGGATATAGGTGGCAGCTGAAACAAGGAGGGTAGACTGAGATCATCTGAAGAGTACTTGACCTAGTTGTTCCTTCACTTAACACAGAGATTCCCAATGTTCTGCTGGGTTACAGGTATGCCACCTTACTGATCTTCTCAAGCTTCTTAGCCCTTGGGGCAGCTGCTGCTGTAGACTGGAGGTCTCTGGCTATAAGCAGCCTCCATTTACTCCAGCATGAATATGTGCCATGATGAGACAGAGGTTGGGAGCCCACTCCTCTGTGGCATGAAGTACTGACGACCTACAGTTTCATTTATTCCCATATATTACTACTGCGTGTTTCCTTCTCTTCCACCCTCACTCCAAGCTCAAGATCATGGAGGGCAGGAGCTATGTACCCCCCGTGGCATCCCCTAATCCTAGAACTTTATTAATAATGTATAAATATTTACTAAAAAAATGAATGGATTAGTGCATATAATGGGAAGAGCAGTAGGATGGGACTAGAAAACAAGGAAATATCAAGACTTAAGGGGTGACCATTCAGGAAAGTGAAGCGAGAGGAAGGGACACAGACCTGCAAGATGTAGTCTTTATAAAGGCCGAGGAAGGAGAAAATGCCAAGGAGAGTTTGATCACTGCACTGGTCAAATGCAGAAGGGAGGCAGCATGAAATATATACACCTCAGTCTGTCTCTGTGGAGTCCAAAAGTTGCTAAGACGTCAGGGCACAAAAGTAGATAGGGAGCACAGAGTTGCAGTTAAAAGTGTGGATTCCAGAGCCAAGCTGCTCATGTTTATAATTCTGGCTCTATTACTTCTGCCTTTAGAGAAGTCAACCTCCCTTGCATATTTGTAAAATGACAATGATAACAGCACCTATCCGGAAGGACTGTTGTGGTAGGTAAATTAATTAATGTCTGTAGAGTACATCTAGAGTACCGTGCCTGGCACCTAGGAAGTGCGCTCAAATTCTTCTTCTTCTTTTAGCTGCTATAATCAAGATGCTTTCACTCATCATGATTCCCTTAGTACACCTGCTCACTGTGACTGCTGGTTTGCTGCCTTAATTAGTTGCTATTTCCAGCATGACACAAAGGAAGGTTTGACAGAAACGATGCTGGGTATGGTTCCATGGGTGATTAGCGGGATGAATTATAACAATTAACATTTGAATCCATTTGATCACAGAGCAAGAAGCGTCATTACAATGGGTAAAAATGAGAAATGATCTTGTCTTATTTTAAAGACATAGAGCAGAAAAAATATCTTTGGGATGGTTGTAGTATTGAAGTAGAAAATAGTCTGATCAACGCGTTCTGGGAAGGCATGCAACAGTTAATACTCACGTGCTGTTTCATAGCAGCTGCATCCGTCACTGTCCAATTCTGCTTCTTCTTGAGTGTTTGGTCAATGGCTAGGATGTCACTTGGATAGCCTGAGACTGGGTTGATAGGCTTTATATTTGCTGCCTTTATGCACACACACACACACACACACAAAGAAGGTTAGTGATATATTTTCGGTTAAATATACAACAAAGACATAATAAACAGAAATATGTCGTATCAGGAAGGGGTTTGTATGTGATTTATAAGGTTACTGCTAAGCCACTTGTCCATTGTTTTGGGGCACCTGGTATAGCACCATGTGTAACTGAGCATTTAGCGAATTCTCTTTTATAATGATGAAGCCTACTCAGAAGTGCAGACCAGAAGATGGTTTATGTGTGGAATGGATATGGAGGGTAGAGAAGAGCCGACTCTATCCTCACCAAATTTTCCAAGCCATCACCAAGCACTGAAAAGTGAAGAAGGTGCCCTCCACGGAATACAACCTGTATTACTTCCAAACTTCCACTGGGGAACCAGCTGTCTATTTTCCCTGTTCCTGGGCTGCTGAACAATGCTGGAAATCACGTAAATATGTGGATTGCTTCTTTGAAAACGTGTAGTACCCAGTCTCATCCAGGCTATTAGTACTGCTTGACCCTACTTTCCTTCATTAGATGCTGTTAATTCTCTTACAGATCTCATAGCTGTCTTCTTAGTGGCTGCTGGAAAACCAGATCTGCACATTCCCTCAGCTAATGATTATCTCTCCAGGACTAGCTAACATGAATTCTTTTCACTCTTCTCTCCACCTTGGGATTTCTCTCCATTGTGTAGCCTGATTTTTCCTCTTTGCCTCTTCTATGTGAGAGTTTCTTTCTGATTTCCAAGACCAAAGTCTCCCCCCTGTATCTTTATTAATTCCCCTCCTGAACCATTTCCCTTCGATTTTCCTTGTTCCATGGCTGGCTTCATGGGTGTGAGACTTGTGCAATCCCATAGGACCAGAAGGGCCCTGAATTTGGTTTACTGCTCTGCTGTTGCAGTCTTTAAATTCTTAGTAATTTTTGGACAAGGGGCCCTACATTTCCATTCTGCCCTTGGCTCCACAAATTACGTAGCCAGTCCTGCCTCTCTCCTACATCTTCAGTTTCTCTTCCTTGGCCAGTGGTTGTCAGCTTTGGCTGCATGTTGGAACTTTTAAAAATACCAAGGCCTAAGCCCCATCTCAGTATCTGATTTAATTGGATAGGGTTGTGGCCTGGACACACGGTGGTTAAAAGCTCTCCTTGGTGGTTCTGTTGTGCAGCCCGGATTGAGAACCACAGCTCTAAGGGCCCTTCCTCCTGGCTACTAATGTGCTCAAGTTCCCCGGTCCCGAAACAACTTTTTCTAGATTCTGATTCTTCATGTTCCATGTCTCTCTTCCTTAACAGGTACAGTTTTTTTGTAAAATGAGCTGATTTCCTTTTCCTCCCACCTTTGGTCTGCTTCATTAATTTCTAGAGATACATGATAAATATCTTCCACTGTGATTATGGATTTGTGTATTCACTTTTTTAGCATGCATGCCTTTAAAACGTCTAAAGTTAATCCTTACAATTCTGTGAATTGTCACCTTATCTGTCAACTTGCTAGGTGCATCCAGGTTCAAGATAGATATATCTTCCTGACAATTTAAAAAAATAATTAAATAGCATCTTTATCTTTAGTTATGTTTCCCTTAAATTTTACTTTCCCCATACTAATATATTGATACCAGCTCACTGATTTGTATTTGCCTGATGTATCTTTTCCTGTCCTTTTACTTTCATACTTTGTGTTGTATTTTAGATGTGTCTCCTTTAAAGAACAGATATCTGAAAATTATTAAAAATCAGTCTCAGTATCCTTTTTTTAGACTTGAAAGATGAACCATTGTCTATTTTTTCTTTTTAATACTTTTTAAATAAACTAGTATGTTTTAATCTTTTATTGTGATTATTGATATATTTGGATTTTCTACCTATTTTATTTTGCACTTTCTATTTTTCCATGTTTTCTCTTTTTTCTTGTTCCTTCCCCCTTCTATTCAACAGTTATTCATTATAATGATTATTCATTAAATTATTCATGATTCATTTTAGTGATTATCCTCACATTTTTAACACTCATTATAAATTTAACAAAATATAGGAAGCTTTAATTCTGAGTACCAGCCTCCTCATCTCCTGTGTCACTGTGGTGTACAGTATTTTAGTTCTTGTTGATTAGTACTCCCCAAACCAGTAATTCTTCCTTTCTTTTTTTTAGTTTTATTTTATTATGTTATATTAATCACCAATACATTACATCATTAGTTTTTGATGCAGTGTTCCATGATTCATTGTTTGCCTATAACACCCAGTGCTCCATTCAATACATGCCCTCTTTAATACCCATCACCAGGTCTTTTCTTTTTTTTTATAAAAGATTAATTTATTGGGATGCCTGGGTGGCTCAGTCGGTTAAGTGTCTGTCTTCGGCTCAGGTCATGATCCCAGGTCCCAGCATCAGGCTCCCTGCTCCACGGGGAGCCCACTTATCCCTCTGCCTCTGCCTCTCTCTGTCTCTCATGAATAAATAAAATCTTTATTTTTTATATTATTAAAAAAAAATTTTTTTTTTTAAATTTATTTGACAGAGAAAGACACAGTGGGAGAGGGAACACAAGCAGGGAGAGTGGGAGAGGGAGAAGCAGGCTCCCTGCAGAGCAGGGAGCCCTATGTAGGGTTCAATCCAGGACCCTGGGATCATGACCTGAGCTGAAGGCAGATGCTTAACAACTGAGCCACCCAGGCACCCCTAAATAAATAAAATCTTTAAAAAATGATTTATTTATTTATTTGAGAGAGAGAGAGTTCACGTGTAGGGTGGAGAGGGGCAGATGGAAAGGGAGCAGACTCCTTGCTGAGTGGGGAGCCATATGCAGGGATCCATCCCAGGACTCTGAGATCATGACCTGAGCCCAAATCAACAGTTGGATGCTTAACCTCCTGGGCCATCCAGGTGACCTTTAAATGTAAATTTAAATAGCCACTGTGGCTACCATTATTGGAAGCCTCAGGTTTAGATTGTGTAGGACCCTGAGTGTTACAGTAAGGATTCTGGCTTTTACTTCGAGTGATGTGAAAAACCACTGGCAAGTTTTGAGCTGATTTTAGCAGAGCCACTTTGGTTGCTGTGTTGAGAATAGACTGCAGAGGACAAAGATAGAAGCGGACCATTTAGGAAGCTGTGGACACTATCTCTGCTGATATGATTAGAGACAATCTTGCTCTCAATAAATAAAGGCTTTGTATTATAATTTCCTTTCATCCAAAAGATACTGAGTCTCCTATAGACCAGTTTCTATTCTAGGTGATAGGAATCCTTTAGTGAAAGAAATAAAGTCCTTGCCTACATGAACCTTATATTCTGGTTGGAGAGATTGACAGTAAACAGATAATGATCACAGGTGGAGGGCTTAGTGTTGGAAAATAAATTTAAAGGGGAATAAAGTTCCCCTTATTTCCAACTTGTTGGTGATACCTGCCTGTGGGTATGACTTCATCTGGAGAGATAAATTCAAAGTCTGAAGTTAAGGTCATTTGTGACTGTGCTACTCCTCCAGAGTCTATTTTTTTTTTTAAGTTTTTATTCAAATTCTGGTTAACATACAGTGTAATAATAGTTTCAGGTGTTTCATATAGTGATTTAACACTTGCATACAACACCTGGTGCTCATCACAACAAGTGCATCCTTAATCCCCATCACCTATTTAACCCAACCCCCTACCCACCCCCCCTTCTGGGTACTATCTGTTCTCTACAGTTAAGAGTCTGTTTCTTGCTTCTCTCTCTTTCTTTGTTTCCCCTTTGCTTGTTTGTTTTGTTTCTTAAATTCCACATGTAAGTGAAATCATACAGTATTTGTCTTTCTCTGACTGACTTATTTCCTTTAGCATAATATTCTCTAGTTCCATCCACATTGTTGCAAATGGCAAGATTTCATTCTTTATGCACAATGGAATATTGCTCAGTCATAAAAAAGATGTATATATCTACACACACACACACACACACACACACACACACACCACCTCTTCTTTATCCATTCATGTATCAGTGGACATTTGGGCTGTTTCCATAATTTGGCTATTGTAGATAATGCTGCTATAAGCATTGGGGTGCATGTATTTCTTCGAATTAGTATTTTTGTGTTGTTTGGGTAAATACCTCATAGTGCAACTGCTGGGTCATAGGGTAGTTCTATTTTTAACTTTTTAAGGAACCTTCATACTGTTTTCCAGAGTGGCTACACCAGTTTGCATTCCCACCAACAGTACAGGAAGGTTCCCCTTTCTCTACATCCTTGCCAGCACCTGTTTTCCCCTAGATTCTTTAAAAATTTTTTATTTGGGTGGCTCAGTCGGTTAAGCATCTGCTTTCTGCTCTGTCATGATCCTGGAGTCCCAGGATCGAGTCCCGCGTTGGTCTCCCTGCTCACTGGGGAGTCTGCTTCTTCCTGTGCCCCTCACCCCACTCTCATGCTCTCTCTCTCTCTCTCTCAAATAAATAAATAAAATCTTTAAAAAACAATTTTTATTTTATTGTGGTAAGAACACTTAACATGAGATCTATGCTCTTAACACATTTTTGGTGTACAATACGTTTTGTTAACTATAGGCACAGTTTTGCACAGTATATCTCTAGAATTACTCATCTTGCATAATTGAGACTGTATGCCCGTTGCTTAGCAGCTCCCCATTAACCCCTGCCCCCAGCCTTGGGGACTCTTAAACTCTATGCCTGGAGGGACTTCTAAGAGGTTTCATAGTGATGTGAACACCACATGGATTTCTGGAACCCAGAGATGCCTCACTGGTCTCCAATCAAATCTTTTTTTTTTTTTAAAGATTTTATTTATTTATTCGACAGAGAGAGAGAGAGGACAAGCAGAGGGAGTGGGAGAGGGAGAAGCAGGCTCCTCACTGAGCAGGGAGCCTGATGTGGGGCTCCATCCCAGGATCCTGGGATCATGACCTGAGCTGAAGGCAGATGCTTAGCCGACTGAGCCACCCAGGTGCCCCTCCAGTGAAATCTTGATGTTCTGCAGGCTGGGAGGCCTGTCATAGCCAGGAGTGAGGCCAGAGCTTCCTCAGAGAATACCCAGAAACCAAGGCATGGCTGCCTGAGACTTTAACATTCAGACCTTGAAGTAGGCCAGAAGGTGTAGCCAGGACTATAATTTGGGGTCTAGTCCAAGAGCAGGATGGCCACTCCATCACAGATTGCGCCACTGAGTTGTGGACCTGGTCCTCTCATCCCATCGTATCTGGCCCAACCAAGATCTAGAGCTAGTTGAGGGAGCCCAAAATGCAGCTTCTGGTCACTAGGTTGAAGGGAGAGCAGGTGTAGGTAGGATCTGAGGGCCTTTTTATTGTTATTCTTATACTCTCCACCTCTAACCCCAAGCCTAAGGTTGTATTTTTCAGTAAGCTTAACTATTCGTTGAAATTAAATGAAATATTTATACCTGGGCTTAAATTTAGGAATATGGCTATGGAATCTGGTTTGAAATATAATGACTGAAAATGTTTGTCATTAAAAAAGTATTAGTTCTGTTAAGTTAGAACTTGAAAACCTAAGTATTTAAATTAACTAATGTGACATAACCAAAATCTTACCTGTGTCTTCCAGTCTCTTTTATGGAAAAAGTAGTTCTCAAAGAAATCCAGAGGCTCCCTTCTCCTTAGCATTTCTAATTTCTGTATGTCTTTGAATGGCTTTCCCATCACCACCCCATCCTTGTTAGGAAACAATGGAAAGATGGGTATTTTTGAATATGGGCTATCTGAAGGAGGACTGCACCCTTAAAAGATAAAAACAAAACAAAACAAAAAGATAAAAACAAAATACCAAAAATAGTATTATGAACAGTGTAAGAAGAAATTCGCATAAAAGACATACATGTGGTGCCTATTTTGCTTTTTTCTAGTCTTCTCAATGGCCATGACCCTCCTTTTCACTCTCCTCACCTCCCTCCCCATACATAGAGTCTAGGCTTCATCCAGACTCCAGGCTTCACCTGTATCAGGAGGATTCAGGTGAAGATGTGGATTTGCTTTCAAATGATATCTGTGTGACAGAGACCAGTCACTCAGAATAGGCTGTGGTCCTGCTTCTTTAGCATTTGGCCTCTAGTATTTATTTCTGACCAGTAGTATACAAATAAATCCTTTACAACAAGGGGGAGAGGACAAATGGTTCTTACTCTTGAGCTCTTCAAGAAATTTAAGTAAATCCTTTTCTTGCATTATTGCGATTCGGGCAGCATTAGCAAAGGCAGCTGTGCTTGAGCTTGGAGGTGTGCATATGTCTGGTTTAAATCTCCTTTTCCCATAACCCACAGTGTAGGGACTCCATGACATTCCTGATGTGGTATCCTGGAATTTTCTTCGGAAATAGCTATAAAAAAAAAAAAAAAGTAATCCAAAAAAAGAATAGAAAGTGCTATATAGTCCTGCTGAAAAGGTGTCTTACTGGACAAAAAGAAAAAAGTCTAGTTGCAAGTTATATGCTGAATACATTAATTAAATTAATTCTTTTTATAAAGATCTTATTTATTCATTTGAGAAAGTGAGAGAAGAGAGAGAGAGAAACAGCATGAGCAGGGGGTAGGGTCAGAGGGAGAAGCAGGCTCCCCGCTCCAGGATCCCGAGACTCCAGGATCATGACCTGAGCTGAAGGCAAATGCTTAATGACTGAGCCACCCAGGCACCCCCCTTATGATTTCTTAACTACCATCTTAACCACGAAATCTAACTCTACCCCTTCAGTCCTGACTTCACTTGGCCTCACTTTAGCATTTAATACTGGGGGAAGGTCTGTCCTGGTTTAGATTTGTCTGTGGCCCTGGCTTCCGACTTCACACCGTCCTGGTTCCCTTCTTGATGACTAATGTTTCCTTTGCTGACCCGTCTGTTTCTTTCCATTCCACAAGTATGGGAATTCCTTGTGGTTCTGTCCTCAGTCCTTTGCTTCTTTCCCCGCCCCCTCCCCAGCATGGGGCTAGGGAGAAGTGCGAGGCTATGAAGCAGGTTTAGGAGGTCAAACGGGTGGGACTTGGTGATCAGCTGGATGTGGGGAGTGACGGAGCAGCCTGGCCTCAAGGAGGCCAGCACGGACTGAGCAGAGTAACAGGGGGCAAAGAAAAAGAGGTCAAAGGTGGGTGCAGATCACCTGGAGGGCCAGTAAGTCATGTGAAGTGTGAGGCTTGCACTCTGAGGGAAATGGGAGGGTTTTGAAGGTTCTGAGCAGAGGAGTGACATGATCCGACACTGTGCTAAAAGGACCATTTGGTGCTGTAGGCATCAAGGCATCAGCTAGGCAGAGGGAGTGTTGAGAATAGACTGTGGAGCCAGCAAGTCATGGGGGTGGGAGTCAAAAGGTGCAAGCAGGGAGACCAGTTAGGAGACAGTGATCCAGGAAAAAGCTAATGCATGTAAAGTGCACACTCAGAACTCTGCACATAATGCTCAATAAATGCTATAGTCAACTACAGGAATACCTATCAAATTCTACCATTATCCAGCTTGAGACCAGCTTTCTCAGAAACTAAATGAATGACCTTTGCCACTCATTTGACAGTTAATTGTGTGATATATTTTGTGTCATTTCACTTTTGTATATTTAGTAATCTACATACTTATGGCTTTTTCTCTCAATTTATATTTTAAGTTCCTTAAATGCAAATGCTACGTATTAAACACTTGATCTCCTTAGAAACCAGGTGTATGAAAAGCAACAACCATAATCATCATCATAATAAAAACACCATCAGCTACGATTTCCTGAGAGGCAGTCTAGGAGGGTAGATAGGAGCATGGGTTCTAGAATCAGACTGTTTGTGCTAAAATCTAGGCACCACTGCCCCTTGGGTGAGTTACTTAATACCTGTACTTCAGGTTTTTCATCTGTAAAATGAGGATAATAGTACCCATTAAGAAAGTGAGGATTAAGGGCGCCTGGGTGGCTCAGATGGTTAAGCGTCTGCCTTTGGCTCAGGTCATGATCCCAGGGTCCTGGGATCGAGTCCCGCATCGGGCTCCCTGCTCCGCGGGGAGCCTGCTTCTCCCTCTGCCTCTGCCTCTCTCTGATGAATAAATAAAATCTAAAAAAAAGAGAGGATTAAAACAGATAATATATATGCTTTATGACTATTCCAGCTACTTCCACATAATAATAATATATATTGAGCTCCAGGATTTTTTTTTTTTTTAAGATTTTATTTATTTGAGAGAGAGAGAGAGCACCAGCAGGGGGAGTGGGAGAGGAAGAAGCAGGCGGGAGCCCGATGCGGGGCTTGATCCCAGGACCCTGAAGATCATGACCTGAGCCGAAGGCAGACACTTAACCGACTGAACCACCCAGGCACCCCTAGCTCCAGGAATATTTATTGAACTACTTCACCTGCATTATCACATATTATCCCCACAACTGCCCTATAAAGTATTATTATCATTATTATTTTTAGGTAGGTATTATTATTGTTGTTCCCATTTTATAGGTGAGGAAACCAAGGCTGAGAAATTAAGCAATGTGTCAAATTTGTGTACCAACAACAGGCATTTAATAAATGCCTTTGAAATGGAATGAAGAGTAGAATTTTGTGGACCCTCTGGTTCCACATCTGACAAATATAGGATAGCATAGAGAGATGATTATCCATTGAGGATTCTGAAAACATTCTGTATTTTTAAGTCTGAAAGGGAAAGCAGAATGCTTTGAAAGAATATGAGCTAGAAGGATTGATAACAGCAATATTCAATATCTATAATACAATGATATAAATAGTTTGAGGAAATTTATCTTTAGTGGTATTTGCTGGAATAAAACACATTTGGGTGTGAGGATGTTTCTTCATCCTCTATTCTCAAATTCAGTTCTGGCTCAGCTCCAGTCCAAAGGCTACTTTGGGAGGTCTGAAATTGCTCTACATCATCCCAGAGTCAAAAGAGCCCCTGGTAGTTCCAGCATGAATGGGAGTGTCTTCCAAACTAGATTTCCAAGCCCACCCGAAGTCATCCCTGGAAAAGTTTTACTCTTCTGGGATTCTCTAGCTTAGGGTAGAAGAGTCTGAACCTTCTTGGCTATCTTAGGCCCTCAGTGGGCCCTGAGATGGTCTGAGGTCAGTCTTGCAATTTCAAAGTTAGCACAGTTGGGATGAAGGAATAAGGTCCCATGTGGCATGTGAGCTTTGCCACAGACTCCTTCTCCTTTGTTTTGGAGCAGACCCTGTGGAGTAGGATGTAAAGAGCCTCATAAGTGCTTCTAAGAAGGCCAATTTTACCCTTCTTTGCCACTTACCTTACTATTTCCATTACAGCCTTTCTGGGTAAAGCTGAAGTCTCTACAAGCTTTGATAGGATTTCAAACAACAGGATCCCTGGGTTGCCAGCTGAATCTAAACATTTCTCCTTTTCTGGAACTATGAAGGGGGAAAAAAATTCAAAATGCCTTCTGAAAAAACATCTATCAAAGAAAGTAATAAGCCGACAGTCTTTTTAGTCTATTTACAATATTAATACTGAGCCAGGTACTAGAGAATTATAGAAAAACATTCAAAATCTGTTCTGTTTGGTAGAAAGGTCATCTTGATTATTGAACAGACACAATGATCATTAAAAAAATGCTTTTAGTTCCATGACTTCTAAGTAAATATTGACTTGTAAGTTAAGACACTTCACATAAACATGGTTTATGTATTAAGGACTGTTGTCTTGTTCTCTGGGTGAAGGGATTGCTGATCAACGTGTCTCAGGCTTGCAGGCGAACCCTCGTTACTACAGTAGTACCGGAAGCAGCAGCTTCGGTCTCTTCTAAGGACAGTTCGCTGCCTATGAATCGATGTATTTTCAAAACTATACACAGTATTTGGAATTTGGTATGTATTTATCCCAGAAAACATGGCACAAATTGTGATTAGTTTTTCCAAGGCAGACTGTAAAACTCATAAACCATCAGAGGACTTAAATAACAGTATGTCAAGGACACCTCCAGATCCCTTACAACCTTGTGTGAGGACATGCTCTTTAGCCTCCAGCCAATTCTCCCATCCTCCCACCAAGGGCAGACTTCATCAGGGTGAGGAAGAAATCTTTTGGGAATAGTGAATTATTGATACCCCCCAGTTTGCATGAAAGAGAGCATTTGTCTTTTTCTAAAGAATTTTTCATTTGTAAAGGGAGTACCTTCCAAAGTAGCACATGCACATGGTAAAGAATATTATAAGAGGTGACAGAATTTTTCTACAGCATTCCAAGTGTTCCTCATTGGAGACCAAAAAGCAGTGTCTCCTGCAGAAGGACTTGATGCATTTAAGTTAAAATTCTAAAATTGTATCAATTTGCTTAGCAAATATTGTTTCGGAGAAGTAGTACGACAGTAAATCTCATGCCAGAGTACACCTTCCTCACTTTTCTCCTGCTTGGAGGCCTAAATGAATAATGGTTACTATGCAGCGAATCACAGCCACCCAACAGCCATGTTCAGCAATATCTCTACTCACCCACAGCCTTAAGGAAGCGATTCTTATCTGTTAGCACCTTTATAAAGTCTGAGAAATTCACCTTCCCATCTCCTGCAACAGAAATCTAAGTCTCAGAACAAGGATATAAGATGCATTTTAGTCATCAGATTACATACTAAATATAAAATGAAAACACCTTGGACTATTCAATACTTAAAATCAGACAGCATGGGGGGCGCCTGGGTGGCTCAGTTGTTAAACGTCTGCCTTTGGCTCAGGTCATGATCCCAAGGTCCTGGGATCAAGCCCTGCAATCGGGCTCCCTGCTCGGCGGGGAGCCTGCTTCTCCCTCTCTCACTCCCTCTGCTTGTGTTCCCTCTCTTGCTGTGTCTCTGTCAAATAAATAAATAAAATCTTTAAAAAAATCAGACAGCATGTTAAGGCTGGAGATGCGCTCAGGGAAGCACTGGTCTTCTTGAAGTGGTTTTGGCATCGTTACATGAATCACCCACAGCTGCTAGAAGCAATGGTGGGGTATAAACATCAAACCGGGGGCTCCCAGTCCCTGCAGTCCTACCTACTCACTCCTTTCTGAGAGACTTGCCATTTTTGCAAGGAATCCATTCCCGCTTTCCCACTCCATACCCACCTCTGATATTTCTATTATTCTAACACCCCCAAATTGTACCCAGTCTCCTCTAACTTATAGGATAGTGTTATTAGAGACATATGTGTGTGTTTTGATGCAAGAACAGGAAAACTGGGCAGTTAGTGGAAACAAGTGACACCTTAATTAACTGGTGATGCTGATTCATACGTGGAGCTTATGCTAATTGAATGGGGCACTGGCAGTTGGGTGCGGAGAGGTAAGAGGAGGTAATTTGCTAACTATATATTCCATACAACATATCAGCTTGGGCTATCTTCACTAGGTCAGTATATTCAAAGGAAATATTATCTAAAAGCTTTAAAAATATCAACAAAAATGCTGTGGCATTTAAAATTCAGTATAGGTGGGCTCTAAGGATCAAAGGAAGATTTGTACTAATATGATTCAAATGGAAACAAAGGGCTTGGATTTTCTTGGTAATGTGTCATTTTTGAAATTGTCAATGCCTTTGTATCTGTTATTTCAAGGCACCCTCCAAAATGTATATCATGATAGGTAATCTGAATTTAATATTAAAATGCGATAGTCACTTTTAGTTTCCATACAGGATTTTTCAAAGAATAGTCCATTTTGTAGCATTAATTTGATTTTTTTGCATTAATTTGATTTTGTAACTTGTACACATACCTTACTGATATCCTTAAAGAGAAACATATATATGTACTTTTGATAATGAGGTATATTTGTTTATATAATCACTGAAAGAAAAATATATATTTATAAAAACCTTTTATGAGAAAAATAATTACAAGTCAAAGTACTCACGATCAATATCAGCACATCTTAATTCATTATAGACATCATGCTTGGTTAGATTCATTCCCAACTTAGCTAAAGTGCACATCATTCCATGTAAATCAATACAGCCAGTTTTATCCTTGTTAAAGAAGTTGTAGGCATCTTGAAAGGCTGAGGAAATGTAATTAAGTTAGTCAGGCAGTTATTCAAGAATAAGTACATATTCTAATGGAACTAGGACTGACTATATAGTTGATTGGACATCACGTTCTGAAAAAGTATTGAGAGAAAAATGGGTACTTAATAGACATTTCATATAAAGGACAATGTCCTTCCATGAGATTTGAATTGGAATAAACTAGTTTGTGGAAAACCAAATATGTTGGTAAAATGGCCTTTGAAAGCAGTCCATACCTTAATTTCTAGAATCTGTGAATGTATTACTTATACGACGAAAGGGACTTTGCAAATATAATTAAGATAAATTACTCTGGATTACTGAGTGGGCCCAATCTAATCACAGGGTCCCCTAGGCATCTAGAAGCAAGAGAAATGTAGCAGAAGGGATCAGAGAGATTCAAAGCATGAGAAGGACTCTTGCTGGTTCAAAGACAGAAGGGGCAATGTGATGTGGGACACAGACCGCTGTCAGGGGCTGAGAGAGGCTCCTGGCTGAAAGCCAGTAAGGAAGTGAGATTTAACCCTAGAACCACAAGGAACTAGGTTCCACCAAGAACCTGAATAAGCTTGGAAGAAGATTTTCCTTCAGAGCCTCTTTTTTTTTTTTTTAAAGATTTTATTTATCAGAGAGAGAGAGAGAGAAAGAGTGTGCACACAAGCATGGGGCAGGGACAGGCAGAGGCAGAGGGAGAAGCAGGCTCCCCGCTGAGCAAGGAGCCCAATGCGGGACTCGATCCCAGGACCCTGGGATCATGACCTGAGCCGAAGACAGACGCTTAACCACCTGAGCCACCCAGGTGTCCCCCTTCAGCGGCTCTTGATTAGAAGCCAGGGTGGCCAACTCCTTCATTTTGCCCTTGAAAGACCCAGAGAAGAGGAACTAGCCAAGCCCATCTGGACTTCTGGTTCACAGAACTGTGAGATAATAAATTTGTGTTGTTTTAAGCTGCTAAGTTTGTGGCAATTTGTTATGGCAGCAACAGAAACATGATGCACCAAAATGGACCCAAATTATATGCATGTGAATGTTTTGAACAGACTCAAAGACATACTCAGGGTGTTAACTGGAGCTGAAATTAGACACGTATTTTCTAACATTGGTGAATGAAGAAATAAACCCAGAACAAAGTATATCTCAAATGGCACCAGAATAAAACTTGTGTGAAGTCACATTCAAGTGTTAGCATCTGCATGTATGAGAGTCATTCATCCTATAGAGATATAATGGTACCTGCCTTATAATTGTGTGAGTGGGTAACATCTTTCTCCCTTGGTTGAAGGCAGGCTTCTCTAGGGTGGAGTCATCTCTGACTTGTTTCTAATTTCTCCCAGTATTTCTAGCATGTTAGTAGGCATGCCTTCTATCTGCCAGGCGCCTAGGATACATTAGTGCCCTAAACAGAGATCTTTGCCCTTATATAAATGTAATGAATAGGTAAGTTGGATAGCATGCTAGAAGGTTAGAAGATGTAAGTAAGTGTTCTGGGAAAAAGAGAAAGTAATGCAGGTTGGGGTGGGGTGGGGATTGGGAGTTCCAGGGATTGAGGGATAGGTTGCTTATATTAAATAGCTGAGATGTGAGCAAAGATTTGAGGGGGGTGAGGGAGTGGATCTCTGGGAGAGGAGAGGACCAGACAGAGGGAAGAGCTAGAGCAAAGGTGCTAAGGGGAATGGGCCTGGCATATCCCAGGAACAGCAAAGAGGCTAGTGTGGCTGGAGCAGAGTGAGCAACAGAAGAACAGGAGAGGTCAGAAACGTAATGTGTGTGTGTGTGCGCATGGTAATGTTTTACAGTTTTAGATTTTATTTTATATTATTTATTATTTTTTTTTAAAGATTTTTATTTATTTGAGAGAGAGAGAGTGAGCACAGAGCACAAGTGGGGGAGGGGAGCAGAGGGAGAAGCAGACTCCACACTGAGCAGGCAGCTCGATGCGGGGCTTGATCCCAGGACCCCAAGATCATCACCTGAGCCGAAGGCAGCCACTTAACCGACTGAGCCACCGAGTCGATTTTTTTTTTTTTTTAAGATTTTATTTATTTATTTGACAGAGACAGAGACAGCGAGAGCAGGAACACAAGCAGAGGGAGTGGGAGAGGGAGAAGCAGGCTTCCAGCTGAGCAGGGAGCCCGATGTGACACTTGATCCCAGGACTCTGGGATCATGACCTGAGCTGAAGGCAGACGCTTAACAACTTTGATTTCTGTTTTGTTTTCAATTGGTTCCAAACTTGGAGCCTTAGCCTTCCCAGAACGTTCTTTCTTTCTATTTTTTTTTTTTGGACTTTTTAATTGTTATGTTAATCACCATACATCATTCGTTTTAGATGTAGTGTTCCATGATTCATTGTTTGTGCATAACACCCAGTGCTCCTTGCAGAACGTGCCCTCTTTAATACCCATCACCAGGCTAACCCATCCTCCCACCCCCCTCCCCTCTAGAACCCTCAGTTTGTTTTTCAGAGTCCATCGAGGAGACTTTCTTTTATGCTCCCAAAACACTTTATACTTCCCCATCATAACTTGTATCATATTGTGATTTAAATGTTTCAGTCAAAAATGCATGGTTTAATGGTCTGACTTCCCTGAAGGACTTCCTATCAGGGCAGTGACAATGTCTGACTTGTTACTTGTTATGTTTCCCATGCTTAGTATACTGTGGGCTTTACATGAATATTTCCTGTTTGGACTAATAAACAATAGCCAGTATAGCTATTTATACTCTGCTCCGTTACTTGATTTCTATTTGACTTTGCATTTGTTTTCTGTATACTCACAAGTTCTTATTTGAATAAAATTATTTGTCCAGGACTGTCCAAATTCTAGGAAGATGTCTGTTTGAAAGTAATCCCCCTTCCTTCCCACAAATTAGACATTGAATTAGAAATTTTGCTCTCAAAAAGCAGAGTACTACAGACAACTCTTGAAATTGCAGATCTCTCTTAGAGAAGAAAATGATCAGATTTATCAAGGGGCCTTAGTTGGTGCTTTCATTTGAGGGCTTATTGTCATTACCTTGCATTTGTGAAGCATTCAGCTTCTTTGCTTTGCTTTGGCAGGGGAGAGATCCTGGTAAATCTTTATCCCTGACAAAAGACATGAAAAGATTTAATACATATGTGAAACCAGCAAATATTAGTTCTTCAGTTTTTGCTGACTGGAACGACTGCAAGATCACAATATATCCAGAGTCTCACCTCCTAAGGGACCTGTTACTGTCACTCACCAATAGTTACAGGATGGACAGTGAGAAAATGCTGGCCACTGAGGTCCACATCTGGCCTATACCTGCCCATCGCCCTTACACCCTTAAAAAAATCTGATTTTCTCCATTTTACAAAAGAGGAAACTGAGGCTCAGAGGGATTAAATAACTTGTCCCAAATTGCACAGATAATAGGTGAAAGTCATGGGATTCAAATTCAGGTTTATCTGACTCCAATGCTCAAGGATATAAGCCCTATACTATTCTTATTGCTAGAAATAGAAGTTGTTTCAAATTTTTAAGTGGTATAAATAATCTTATGGTGAATATCCTTACATTGAAAGCTTTATAACCATAGTTATCTTACGACTTTAACTGCCAAACTGTATTTTTACCAGCATATTAGAGGTAGATATAACTACAACTCTATACTTATACATCATCTATAGGTGTATCAACTATCTATCTATCAATATCTATCTATCTATCTATCTATCTATCTATCTATCTATCTATCTATCTATGTATCAAATCATCTGAGACAGAAAGTGCTTCTGGAAAGTCTGGAACCCTGGGTGACTTTTCATTTTCTCAGAAAAATAAAATCTGGAAAAAGAGAAAACATATTAATACTTTGGGGATATTTTATATAGATCTGCAGGAGGTTATTAGTTTAGGAATATAAAAAATATATTACGCAAAACTGGGTTTGCTTATAATATGGTCATTTAAAAGTAGACTTAAATAGTCATGATTTTATAAGTTAATTTTATTTAAAATATATTTAGCTTTGAAACTAAACTAAAAGTTTTAATATGGAATCTCTTTGTTTTTACAAGAAGCAGTTAAAAAAGTGAAATGGGAAGAAATACTAAACACGCTAAATTTAAAAAGTTATGGTTTATGAATTTAGCATCCTGTATAGTATCTCGTAGGTTCAACTCATTTTCAAAGACGGACCTAATAAAAACAAAGGTGATAAGGTCTTAAAATGCACCATTCCTTTTTTGACATGGAATTTTACCTAATTAGTCTTATTATCTCTGCTTTTACTAATACCGATTTCTTCTTCTGGTGTTTCTGTTCTATCACCTATTTGAACTTCTGAAAACTCAAGTTGGCCCTTACGCAGATATGTTATTTTATATTTGTTGTATTTCTAAATATAAACGAATTTCTTTCACATGACATAAAAGATGCAGTAGATGGAGAAATACGGAGTTCTCAAGAAGCAGGAGCAAAGTAGAAGGCCAGGCAGTATGAAGTCTTTACTAGCTACATTAAAAAAAGGATACTCTTGGCAGAATTTCAAATCTTATCTTGGCTCACACATGAGAAACGGTCTTTTTAAATTATAACGTTTCAAAGCTTTGAAGTACCTTAGCTTTGGAATGAGCTCAGTCTGGCCTCTCATCTCATGTAGGAATTCCCTCCATGTGTGGTATTGTCAAGTCTTTGCTTGACTACTTTCAAGCATGTCACTTGTTCCAGAGACAGCTTGTAATGCAGGGTATGGGAACCATGAGATCAAGGGATTTGGCAGCTGTAAGGCTGTCTTACCCACATGCTTCTAAAAAAGGTCAGTAATCTATTCTTGTTGCAGCAGTATAGTCAAGGGCACTAGGGGAAATACTCTCAAAGTGGCACAGAAAACGGATGGTTTGAGAGAGAAGAGAGGCTTTTCTTCTTACACTCTGATAAAATATAGATCAGGCTCTTACTTGCAGTCATTAGTGGCTGAGGTTTATTGGAATTTGTAATTACCAGACTGAGAAAAAAAGCTATTGTTAATGTCACAGGCAAATCTCCCTTCCCACTTTTAGCTCAAGGTTAGTCATGGCTAATTTACCCAGATTTCATTTCACTGGCCATATTTGAGCTATAGACTATATTGACTTGCTTAGGGGATTAGGTCTTCTTTCTGATCCTCTAACATTATTCTCCTTTAAACTGGCACTCAAAATATCTTAATGTATTACTGACAACTTCTTAAGCCCTCTAGGGTATTCTGACCCCCCACACAAAAATTCCCTCTCATTTGGGGGAACAGGAAAGAGGACTTTTTGTTTCTTCAATCTAAAAGGATATATATTGGGGCGCCTGGGTGGCTCAGTCGTTAAGCGTCTGCCTTCGGCTCGGGTCATGATCCCAGGGTCCTGGGATCGAGCCCCGCATCGGGCTCCCTTTTTGGCGGGAAGCCTGCTTCTCCTTCTCCCTCTCCCACTCCCCCTGCTTGTTTTCCCTCTCTCGCCGTGTCTCTCTCTGTCAAATAAATCAATAAAATCTTAAAAATAAATAAATAAATAAAATAAAATAAAAGGATATATATTTTTTTCTTTTCATAAAAAACCTTTCTCTTCAATTCATATATTTGGTTTTATAACCAAATTTATCACAAGGTACTTGAAGAGCCTTCTAACTTGTTTCCTCATAACCTTTATGGTTATTTATAATATTTATCACCTTAATAATTCTTCACCTTAATCTATTCGGGGCACCTGGGTGGCTCAGTTGGTTGGGTGTCCAACTCTTGATTTCGGCTCAGGTCATGATCTCAGGGTCATGAGATCAAGCTCCGAGTCGGGCTCTGTGCTTGGAGCAGAGTTGGCTTGAAATTCTCTCTTTCCTCTCCGTCTGCCCCTCCCCCTGCTCATGCATGCACGTGCTTTCTCTCTCTCTAAATAAGTAAAAGATTTTATTTATTTGTTAGAGAGAGAGAGAGAGAGCACAAGCAGGGAGAGCGGCAGGCAGAGGGAGAAGCAGGCTCCCTGCTGAACAAGGAGCTCAACATGGGACTCAGTGCCAGGACCTTGGGATCATGACCTGAGCTGAAGGCAGACACTTAATTGACTGAGCCACCTAAATAAGTAAATAAGTAAAATCTTAAAAAAAATAATTCTTTACCTTAATCTATCACCCGAATATATTCATTACTTACCTTTTGCCATGGGAGCTGGGTACTTTTGTTAGAGGATTTAGCTTAAATTTTGATTTAATGTCAGAAACCGCCATGGGGCCAATAACTCTGTCTGGAATTCAGAAGATACAAATAGGATCAAATCACAGATTAATTCCTCTATTTTCTTTTGCAACTTTCCTAGCTCAAGACCTAGATTTTGAAGTCCAGGGCCTTGAGGAATGGTAATATGTGCAAATTCAAGTTAGAGGTATGTGCAAAGTTGGAAGGCCATGTGGAAGGATCTCTTCACTGTCCCAAGATCTCTAAGCAAAATGTCTTACCCTTGTTTCCCCCCCAATAGTGTCATTCTAATCATATATAAAAATAAGTGATACCATATGACATAGATAAAGCATCCTGGAAATATGTGCAAAAAGTTATTTAAATAACTTTAAATAAAGACAAAATTTATTTTTTAAATCAGAACATTTCATATTATAATTGACAGAGAATAAAATGTTACAGCATTTCTAAAATATTTACCTAATTGTTTATATCTTGGATACCTGCCTGGTAATAAATATTTTCTAGGATTTCCTTCTGGGAGGTCCATCCCTGCCCTGTCAGTTCTTATGAACCCACCGTATGGGAATCCAAATGTAGGAGCAGAGGTGGGATACAATGCTCTTTCACCACCCTAGACCCTCCTGAATGGACTTTTAACCACTAGAGCCTCCCTGGTCCTGCCTTTCCACTTCAGCAGTTTGGGTATCAGGGCCTACGGACCAGGAGCTGGGTTGGTAGGGCTTCCCCCTTCTATTGGTGGTTTTACCTCTCCAATTGCAATTTTCAAAGTGTAGACTGTATTAAAGAATACTGGGTTGCTGATTTAGGAATGATAGACAAAACTATGAAACCACAAGAAAGTCTTTGAATGTGTAATTACAGTTTGGTCCATTTTCCTAGGTCTTCACCTCAGAGCCTGGAAAGCCAGTTGTTTCTAAACAACTCAATTACACGTGTTCAAAATCTGGAAACCTACCACAGAGCTGGGAACTCCGGAGAGGCTCAATAATTTAGGCACTTGAAAGGGGCTGTGAAATCATCCTCATGGCGCAAAATAATCATTACTTTAAAAAAACTACCTTCAATCTCTCATAGAGATGAGAGATTAAAAAAAAAAAAAAAGGACTCAGCATAGATTCCTACAAAATCCAGATATTTGCCTACTTTTAAGCCATGCTACCTACCACTTCTGGGCTTCAATCAGATCAAGAATCCAATAAAGGGTTTGTTCCATCATACAACTGTGACCTCATTCACTTCTCAGGCTCAGGCCCAGGTGAGAATGACCTACAAGCTCCTTCCAGGTTTAGAGCAACCATGTTTTCAGTGTGGTCTGTTTAGCACCCTTGGGGATGTGTGGGTGTCAATTACAGAGTGAGAACATTTTGACACTGTGGGGATTTCAGGGAAGGGGAAGTTTTTTGTTTTTTTGGGTTTTTTTGTTTTAATTCTGTATTACTATAGTTTCATGTTAAACATTAGTCAGTTGGAAGTTGTTCAAATGAAAAATTTTACCTAAATGCCTTGATTGAATGGTGATTAAGTACCATTTCATTAATTGCTTAAGCCCAGGAAGGACAAAAGTATCCCAAACTCTCATAGGCTTGTAGACTATAGTATTATTGGAAAGAGTGATTTGAAAAGAACAATTACAAAAAGATTATGATTGTTTTAATTAGAAACCTTAATATTCAAGATCTCACATGTCTCATGGCATTATAAATCATCTAGGACAGGAGTTAGGCATGTCTTTAGTCTTCATCATGGCCAAGCACAGATACCTTTGGCACCCAATGTTTAGCTTGAGCCCCCCAAATTATTTCAGGCCTCACTTAGTAGCTGCAGTTCTAGAGGCTTTCTATTCCTGCTCTCAGAGTTTGTTTATTGTGGGCATAATTTGACATTTCCCTAGTCTTTCTGAACTTGGTACATTGCCTCCTATTCCGCTTTGGAATACAAAGGAAAAGAAAGGGATGGTTTAATTTATAAATTAATTAAACAAGTATTTAATAAGGGCCTACTATGTTAGGGCCTACCAAGATTAAAATGGGAATAATGGCAGTTCCTATTGGATGGGATTGTTGAGAAATATATTAATATTATTATTTTAATTATTATTTCAAATTGTGGTAAAAAAAGAAAATTTATGATCTTAACCATTTTAAGCATACAGTTTAGTATTTTTTTTTAAAGATTTTATTTATTTATTTGACAGAGGGAGACACAGCAAGAGAGGGAACACAAACAGGGGGAGTGGGAGAGGGAGAAGCAGGCTTCCTGCTGAGCAGGGAGCCCGATGTGGGGCTCGATCCCAGGATCCTGGGATCATGACCCAAGCCCAAGGCAGATGCTTAACGACTTAGCCACCCAGGTGCCCCGGTTTAGTATTTTTTTTAAGTATTTTTGTTTTTATTGTTATTTATTTGTCAGAGAGAGAGAGAGATCACAAGCAGGGGGAGCGGCAGGCAGAGGGAGAAGCAGGCTCCCTGCTGAGCAGGGAGACTGATGTGGGGCCGATCCTAGGACCCTGGGATCTGAGCAGAATGCAGATGCTTAACGGACTGAGCCACCCATCTAATCCAATCCATTCATTCCATAAATATTTTTTAGTGCCTATTTTGTTCTAGGCCCTGGGATACATCAGGGAATACATCTAGCCAGAAATATTGTTGATTCCATCTTCAAAATATATATGTAATCAAATTACTTTCCACCATCTCCACCTCTACCTGTTGTTCTGGTCTAACTGGTCTCCCTGCTTCTGCTCTTGCCTTATCCACTACCTGCCAATCTATCCTACACATAGAAGCCAGGATAATCCTTTCAAAACTTAAGTCAGATCATGTCATGTCTCTGTTCAAATCGTCCAGTATTTTCCTATCACTCAGGGTAAAAATCCAACCTTTATTTATTTATTTATTTTTGTGAGCAGCAAAGCAAAGTTTATTGAGTGATAGTAAAATCCAACCTTTATAATAGCCTTCAAGGCTTATATGATCTGTTCCTGGCTGCACCTGCATCACCTCCTTATTGGGACATCTTATTGTACAACCCTGGAATTGTGCATTGCATAGACTATGTGACTGAATGTGATGGTCCTGTCACCTAGTTCTATGACCTTATCTCTTCCTACATTGCCCTTGTTCACTCTGTTCTAGCCAGAATGGCCAATTAGCTTTTTCTCAAATACTGCAAGCATGCTCTTGTATAAAGGCATTTACACTTGCTCTTGCCTCAGATTATTTATGGCTCACTCCCTTACCTCTTTATCTTTTTGCTTAAGTGTCCTTTATCAGCAAGGCCTTTCTTGATTACCTTCCCTCACTTGCAGAATTCCCTACACCCCTTTTCCTTGCTTTATTTATTTATTCACTTTTTATATTTACATTTTAGGTAGTTAACACACTGTGCAATATTGGTTTCCGGAGTAGAATTCAGTGATTCATCACCTACATACAATACCCAGTGCTCCTTATAACAAGTGCCCTCCTTCATACCCATCACCCATCTAGCCCATCCCCTAACCTCTTCCCCCCGTCAACCCTCAGGTTGTTCTCTACTGTCAAGAGTCTCAGGGCGCTTGGGTGGCTCAGTCTACTGACCAACACTCTCTTGGTTTCAGCTCGGGTCATGGTCTCGGGGGTGTTAAATCGAGCCCATGTCAGGGTCTGTGCTCCGCACAGAGTCTGCTTGAGATTCTTTCCCCTCCCTCTCCCATCCCCTTTGTTCCTCCCCCTGCTTGCACTCTCTCTCGAAATAAATAAATAAAATCTTAAAAAAAAAGTCTTTTATGGCTTGTTTCCCTCTCTCCTTTTTCCCCCCCTTCCCATATGTTCATCTGTTTTCTGTTTTCTTTCTTAAATTTCACATATGGGTGAAATCGTACGGTATTTGTCTTTCTCTGACTGACTTATTTCACTTAGCATAATACACTCTAGCTCCATCCACGTTGTTACAAATGGCAAGATTTCATTTTTTTGATGGCTGAGTAATATTCCATTGTATATATATACCACATCTTCTTTATCCATTCATCAGTTGATAGACATTTGGGCTCTCTCCAGAATTTGGCTATTGGAGATAATGTGCTATAAACATCGGGGTGCATGTACCCCTTCAAATCACTATGTTTGTATCCTTTGGATAAATACCTAGTAGGGCAATTGCTGGATCATAGGGTAGTTCTAATTTTAACTTTTGAGGAATCTCCATACTGTTCTCCAGAGTGGCTGCACCAGTTTGCATTCCCAGCAGCAATGCAAGAGGGTTCCCCTTTTTCCACATCCTTGCCAACACCATTCTGACAGGTGTGAGGTGGTATCTCATTGTGGTTTTGATTTGTATTTCCCTGATGATGAGTGATGTTGAGCATCTTTTCATGTGTCTGTTAGCCATCTGGATGTCTTCTTTGGAAAAGTACCTTTGCTTTATTTTAATCTCTCTAATCTCTGTCATACTATTATCTTATTCTTTTTGGTGCATATATCTCTTCACTAGAGTGTAAGTGCCATGAGGGTAAGGATTTTTGTCCTAAACATGTAGAATAAGGCTTGGCACATGGTAGACACTAACCGATTGTTTAAATGAATGCATACATGCATCCATTCATCCCTTTAGCAGATACCCTACTATCTGCTAGGAACAGACTCACCTTTAGAATCATGTCCAGTTTTCATCAACTTATGTAGTGGCACCATCCCTTTTGCTTAAAGAGAAGATTAAGAGTCAAAATTATATACATTTACGAAGTTTTGAAAAGTAGAACAGGAGCAAATTATAATTTTCTTTTATTTTTTCCTCCAGTGAGTGGGAAAATGAAGAGAAAATGTCAGTTATATGTGACATACCTCTTTTTTTTTTTTTTTTTTTAGAGTTTTTAGTTAAATTCCAGCTAGGTAACATTCACTGTAATATTAGTTTCAGGTGTACAATATAGTGATTCAACACTTGCATACAACACTGGCGCTCATCACGACAAGTGCATTCTTTCATCCCCAGTTAGCGATATACCTCTTAATTCATGTTGCCTCTTTTGGTGCCTTAATGTGTCAAGCTCCAAAAAATTGTTTTTGAAACAAAAAATAGAGTCAACATTGAAGGCAAAACTATTCACTTATCATCTTTTAGGATGAAAAGAAGTGAAGTGACTTTGAAAACTTGTTGACTGTCAACAAGGAGGACAACCTGCTATCCATTTCATTTTCATTAGTGCTTTGGTTATGAACTGTTGATGAGTTATATGCCTTTTAGTGGTACAGATATTTCTTTCTAGTGAATTCTCCTGTGAAGTGTGTACATACAATATTCATTATAATATTGACTAAAAATCTCTCCGCCTTGCCCTACTCTACCCTATGGCCAGAACAACAACAATGAAACAAGTACTTTAATAGTACTGATTCAATTCTTCCTCTCAAAATGTTGGGTAGTTTGGTTTTCTATGCACAAGGAGATTAACTCAGGAGAAAAGTGCTGGGTATAATGTTCAATTCCCTAAGTTTGGTTTAGTTTGACCAGATAAAGCCAATAATGCTATTTTGATATCAAGAAAGGTCAGTTGCAGGTTATGGAAACACGGAAAAGTTTTGGTAGTACCTTTAGGCTGTGAAGGCTCTACAGGGTAATACATCACGCAGAAGGCAGTACACATAAAGTAGGTATATTTTCCTTATGCAAAGGGAGAGATTAATACTAACATAAAACACATAATTTGTATGATTAAGAAGCACCTATCAAACACCTTTATTCCCTCCCTTGCCTCTCATTCTTCTCTTCTTCTCTATTGCTTGGTTCTTCTTCCTGCCTAGACATTAGTTTGCTAGAGGCATCCTATGCCATTCTAGGATGCTGCGTGTGGCACCACTCTGGTTGGGAATGGGACTTGGAAGATTTCTGTTTCTGACAAGAGGCAGACTTTATTTTTACACAGTAGGCTTTTTTCTAGATGTATTTAGAGTTTCTTTATAGCCCTAATAAGTATGGTTTTAGAAATTCTCATACAGAACCCTACAACCTACAACATTGCAGGCCAGAGTGGAATTTTGAATGTTTACCATCAAATGACATGAAATATTAGCAGGTCTTGAAGTTGTTCATATAAAGTGTCATTTTCATGTTATTATGCTTAGGTAACTGAAATTTACTTTTATTCCTTAGAAAAATAGAAATGGTGAAATGGGGATTGGAGAAAAAAGATAAGCATAAAAAATGCCATTGTCTAAAAAATGAGTATGTCTAGTCATCAAAAGTTGAGAGTGAAAACTTAAATCATAGGTAGGATGTGTTTGAATGTACAAAAAAAGTCAATACAGTATATAGTATTCAGAAATAAAATCTGTTCCCTTAAAACCTGTATCTATAAAGAAAACTTAGTAAGTGGACACTGAGTAGTATTTGGTGAATTTGAGGAGTAGACACTGCTGTTAGAAGTTTCTAAAATTATGAAACATACTTTTCAATGTCTACATTTTCTTTAGTGTACTGTGGACTTCACAGAATAACATATATTTTGGTGGCAGCAAGTGGAATGGGCTTATGCAGTGCAGAAAGCAAGTGGGAGAGCAGGGTAGGCATGTGAACAGTGTACATTTGACAGAGACTGGAAAGAAAAGTGGAAAAGGCAACACTACTAGGAAAACAAGTGGCAGCAGGAGTGAGAGAAAAATAATCTATTAATAGAGACAGGAAGAAGAGAAGAAAAACCTGAAAAAAGAAGAAGGACGGAAAAGTAAGCAGATGGGACTGGGAGGCCGTGCTCTCTCGGCTTTGTAGAAGGGTTTTAACCATCGATTCTGATTTGGGTGGCTCACTTACACGCCTGGGGTTTTACATAGTGTTACATAACTCTTTCTTCTGAGTGGCCCAGATTGGGAGGGTTGTTAGGAGAATAACCTCGATACAGCTGCTTGGGTTAGTGAATCTTCCATTATCTGAAAGCAGGAGACTAGAACCTCTATTAGTCAATTGACAAGCATTTATTGGGCACATACTATCTACTCAAAAACAGGCTTGCTGAGAGCTGGAACTTTGCTTGTCCCTTTTTCATTGCTGAACTTTCTTTTTCACAGTGCTTGGGTACTCAATAAGTGTTTATTGATGAACACTGATCTTATACATGATCACAGAGGATTGCTTCAATATCCCTAAATTCAGCATCACGATTTTAAATGCTGGAGTTAAAAGCTACCAAGCAGACATTTTTGAAAGTTTTCTGGCACCAGTGACAGAAGCAGCAATATATGGGATAGAATGGGACCTATTCAAAGAAATCTTTTTTCTTTTGCAAATAATAAAATATAACAAGACTCATTTGGAAATGTTAAGTGTGGGTGCCCAGAATTTAAATTTATCTTCTCTTATTAAGATTCATTTTGTAGATACTTACATAAAGCACCTTAAATTATTCTTAAATTCTTTTTTTTTTTAAAGATTTTATTTATTTATTTGAGACAGAGAGAATGAGAGAGAGAGAGCACATGAGAGGGGGGAGGGTCAGAGGGAGGAGCAGGCTCCCTGCCAAGCAGGGAGCCCGATGCGGGACTCGATCCCGGGACTCCAGGATCATGACCTGAGCCGAAGGCAGTCGCTTAACCAACTGAGCCACCCAGGCGCCCCTTAAATTCTTTTTGAAACACAATCAGACTTTCAGAGACACATCAATTTAAAAAAAAATCATTCTTGTTGAAAAATGCTGGTGCAGAAAGCAAATCAAAATTATTGGAGAATGAAGTACAGATTAAGGTTGTGGGGGAGGGCAGGAGGGCAGAAGACAAGTTTTAACTTGCCTCTCCTGACCAGTTTCACAGCATCATTTTTTTTTAAATTTTATTTTATTATGTTATGTTAGTCACCATACATCACATCATTAGTTTTTGATGTAGTGTTCCATGATTCATTGTTTGCGTGTAACACCCAGTGCTCCATGCAGTACGTGCCCTCTTTAATACCCATCACCTGGCTAACCCATCTCCCCACCCCCCTCCCCTCTAGAACCCTCAGTTTGTTTCTCAGAGTCCCCAGTCTCTCATGGTTCGTCTCCCTCTCCGATTCCCCCCCTTCATTTTTCCCTTCCTACTATCTTTTTTTTTTTTTTAACATATAATGTATTATTTGTTTTAGAGGTACAGGTCTGGGATTCATCAGTCTTACACAATTCACAGCGCTCACCATAATCACAGCATCATTTTCAAACCTCCCATTCATTCTTTTTAAGTAAGTACAGATGGTGGCATTGGGCAACTTGTTTTAGAAATAAATATGCTAAGAGGCCTGCAAACAGAAAGTACTGAGGTTATGTGTTAAATTTCACAGGCATCCAAAAAAGGAACTTTAGGTCATCAGACATACCTATCGATAGGTAAAATTTTAGTTTTAGTAAGAAAATGGAAAAGTAGTTTGAAAGTGGGACTTTAAAGCTAAATGCACAAAAATTGTGTTTGTATGAGGAAAAAATTAGGGCTGAGAAAAATTATAGATTATCATTGGGTGATAGAATTAAGAATTATTAAAATTTTCCTTTTGCATTCTTTCATTTTTTGAATATAGAAATTTTCTATAATGAATATGTATTACTTTTATAACCAAGAAAACACATGTAAAAATAAACTTATAGCACCAGCTTATCCATTTTTATAAAGTGAATCATGAATTTCCACTTACCTTTAAACTTCTTTAGGCCCTCCATTATTGAATCCACTCTAACCTTCCCATTTCCTGTAAAACATTTGAATCAGACACAGAGGAAGTCACATAAAAACTCATAAAAACTGAGTAATATTCCATTGTATATATATACTATATCTTCTTTATCCATTCATCTGTCAATGGACATCTGGGCTCTTTCCATATTTTGGCTATTGTGGGCATTGCTGCTATAAACATTGGGGTGCAGGTGGTGCCCCTTTGGATCACTATGTTTGTATCCTTTGGGTAAATACCTAGTAGTGCAATTGCTGTGTTGTACAGTAGTTCTATTTTTAATTTTTTCAGGAACCTCCATACTGTTTTCCAGAGTGGGTACCAGCTTGCTTTCCCACCAGCAGTATAAGAGAGTTCCCTTCTCTGCATCCAACATGGATGGAACTAGATAGAGGGTATTATGCTAATCGAAATTAAGTCAGTCAAAGACAGTTATAATATGTGGAATTTAAGAAACAAGACAGAGGATCATAGGGGAAGGGAGGGAAAAAAGGAAATAAGATGAAATCAGAGAGAAAGACAAACCATAAGAGACTCTTAACTCTAGGAAACAAACTGAGGGTTGCTGGAGGGGAGGCGAGTGGGGGGGATGGGGTAACTGGGTGATGGGCATTAAGGAGGACATGTGATATAATGAGCACTGGGTGTTATATGAGCTGATGAATCACTGAACTCTCCCTCTGAAACTAGTAATATACTATATGTTAATTAATTGAATTTAAATAAAAAACTCATAAAAACTGATAAAAGTTGTGAAATTATTAAAATGCCATCGCAGGCTGGAACTTCTCCCATGAGACAGAAGAATTAGAGAAACTGGTTTGCTTGGGAATTGGATTCATTTTTCCCCTCAGGTGAGTATGATGGAAGAAAGGATAAATCTTTAGCAAGACAAATCTCTCTACTTCTTCAATACAATTCCTCTTTTCTGTGTTTCAAGATATGACACTCCAAAGGTTTTATGTGGAGAAGGGATATTACAAGAAGAACCAGGGCTCAAATCTGGCAGCATCTTTTCCAAACTCAGATGACATTAAAACAAACAAAATATATGAAGATACTATGTTGGCCAATTGCTTAGAGTTGGAATAGGTAGAGAAGGACCTGCTCTGTGTTTTCTTCCAACAAGGATTTCTTGAGAACCAACACATTTGAGGTGCTGTATTTATCACTCTTGAGATTACAGAGTATGTTTCTCTGGCTGGAATGATCTTCCCATACTTGTTCAGCTTAGGGTCTTTTTCAGAAAACCCTGGTCTTGGCTAGATGCTCCTTTAGTACCTTCTGCATATACATAGCACCTTTTTTAGGTGATGAAAATGTTCTAGAATGACTGTGGTGATAGTTGCCCATATCTGTGAGAACTAAAAACCATCCAATTATATACTTTAATGGCTAAATTGTTTGGTATGTGAGCTCTATCTCAATAAGGCTGTTAAAAATGTTGATTGAAAAAAAGAAATAGAATGAGTTTTATAGCACGATACCATTTAAGGAAATTAAATACCACATACATTGAATTTTTAAAGGGATACACACATATCTAAAATAAACATGAGGAAGGTGGATTGGAAGAGCATACATTAGATATAATAGAGAATGTACCTATGATGGGGGGAAGGAAATAGGAACAGAAGTAGGAGGTAAAGGAGAAAATAATAAAACAAAACACAAGGGGTCCTTGCATGGATCAATGATGATAGTGTGCCATAACTGAGGAGTTTGATTAGCTCAACTGTATGCATCTGGTGTTTAAGGAAAAGTCCACTCTTCCTCCACAAAAAAAGCTTAAGGTGCCGGTGGGACAAAAAGGAAGAAATATTCAGCAGGCAGCTGTAAACACAGTGGTGACAAAGAATAATCCAGAGAACAAAGGCTTTCAAACATTGTGGTCTCAGGACTTCTTTACATTCTTAACAATTTTTGAGGACCTCGAAGAGGTTTATGTGAGTTACAGCTATTATGTGGGTTTAATTACCATATTAGATATTAAAACTGAGAAATTTAAAAAATATTTTAAGATAGCAATAATAAATCCAGTACATATTAACATACTTTTTAGTGAAAAATATATATCAATTGAAAAATGAAAAAATTAAGGCATTAAAATTTAGTGGGAAAGGTAGTGTTACTGATTGAACATTTGTGTCCCCCCAGATTCATATATTAAAATTCTGTCTCCAATATGGTGGTATGAGAAGGCAGGGTTTTGGGCAGGTGATTAGGATAGGATGAGATCCTGAAGTCAGACCCTCATGAATGGGATTAGTGCCCCTACGGGTCAGGAGAGAGCCTGCAGCTTTGTGCTCTCCGCCATGTGAGGATACCACGAGAAGGTGACAATCTGTAGCCCAGAAGAGGGTTCTCACCAGAACTCAACCTTGCTGGCTCCCTGATCTCAGGATTTCTGGCCCCAGAACTGTGAGAAATAAATTTCTATTGTTTATAAGCCACACAGTGTATGGTATTCTTGTTATAGCAGCTTAAGCTAAAATAGCATTGTTTTACATTTTTGCAAATCTCTTTAATGTCTGGCTTAATAGAAGACAGCTGGGATTCTCAGTCTGTTTCTGCATTTAGTTTGCTGTGATATGTTTTCTTGGTTGGAGAAAATCTGGCCTTATAGAGTTATGTAGTCAGAAAAGAAATATTTTATTATTTTATTTATTATTATTATTTTTTTTATTTTGAGAGAGAGAGAGTGTATGAGGTGGGTGGAGGGGCAGAGGGAGAGAGAGAGAATCTCAAGCAGACTCCACACCTAGTGGATCCTGAGATCATGACCTGAAATGGCCAAAATCATGAGTCTGATGCTCAACTGACTGAGTCACCCAGTCACCCAGAAAAGAAATATTTTAATAGGTTTTTCAGATATATCATGTGTGGATATGTCATGTAGCTTATTAGAAAAGCTATTGTACACTTGTGAGTGAATGAGAATGATAAAGGTAAATACTGTCTTAGTGTTATTTTAAAAATAGTTTCAATCTCATGGACCTTCCAAAAGAGTGGGTTGCCCCTAGATGTTGATTTGAGAACTGCTACCATAGAGAGTTGATAATGAAGCAACAATCAAGGACTGATATAATCAAGGGAGGGAAGGAATTAAAACTGAGAAGACTGAGAAATAAACCCTCGTTTGTTCCCATGTTCAGAAGCTAGAATAAGTGAGGCTGGCAAAGTAAATTATTCATGATTTCAGATTCTGAGGGTTATTTCAGTAGAGTTGCAGGCTATGTGACTGGGGAAGCCAATTGTAAGGATTCAAAGAGAATGTGAAGCGAGGAAGCAGAAGTGGCTCCTATAGACAATAAAAAAGCAGACTGAGAAAGGAATGAGGGATGAATGATCATAATTATGAGGTAGAAGAACCAGCTGAAGGTTAGTTTTTAAAAGGAGTGGGGGACTACGTGCCTCTTCATAGGCAGAGTAGAGAGAAAGAGATGAAATTGAAAGTGTTGGGAAGGAATTATGGAAGAAATGATTTTTTATAAAAATATTGAATCATATATTGTACACCTGAAATATAATATAATGTTATATGTCAATTATATCTCAATTTAAAAAATAATTTTTGACAAAGTGGGAGATGATCAGGTCAAGAGCAATGGATTGGAGGTGTTGAAAGGAGACTTTTCTCCATTGGAGAGAGGAGAGGAAGAAAGTCTAGGTGAACAAGAAGAAACAGTAAACTGGAGAGAACAGAAAGTGATGTTTGCAATTAATAGGTTCAAATTTATTGCTTTAAAACTGGGATTTGAGAAACATATTGGTTCAGTGCTTTACTTCCTACTTCCAGTTAGGCTTAGCAGAGAAAACCAAGTCTGTACTCTCTGCTTCATTCTTATATTCCTCGTACCTAGTATAGTGCCTGCACATATTCAGTGATCAATAAATATTTGTTGGCTGAATAAATCAATATACAATCTTAAACATTCAAGGTCAGAGGAGCACAGCAACATCACTGAAGCACTATGGTAAGAAATGCTACTCCCCAAATGCTCCCAGATCACTTTTTAAAAAAATCAGAACCACAAAGAAAGTAGTAGAAATAAAAAAAGACTAAAGTAACTATAGAACAGAAGAGTCAGCAGATAAGTCATGTAGCCAGATTCAATAAACAATAATAAAAATCTCAACAAGCAAACAAAAGAGCAAGCATAAATGAAATAAGTTAACCCTTAATGCCCCTGCTTCCTCTTGTGTATTTCTCTCTCATTTTTATTTTTTAATTTCAATTACCCTAATATTTTTCCTTCTTATTTTTGGGCTAGAATCCTGCTCTCAGGCACAAATTAACATATTGTTTGTACTTGTGACTTAAGAAATGAAAGCAGTCATTAGGCATCTGCTTTTGGCTCAGGTCATGATCCCAGGGTCCTGGGATCAAGCCCCGCATCGGGCTCCCCGCTCCATGGGAAGCCTGCTTCTTTCTCTCCCACTCCCCCTGCTTGTGTTCCCTCTTATCACTGTGTCTCTCTGTCAAATAAATAAATAAAATCTTAAAAAAAAGAAATGAAAGGCTGGGCACAATCTTAATGTATCATTTCTTCATCTTTTAGGACCTTTATAGGCAAAGTGTGGTCCATAGACCAGTAGCACTGGCATCATGTAGAATTTTTCAGGCTCCAACCCAGACCCAAATAACAATTTCCATTTTAATAAATGCCCAGGTGATTCATATGCATGTTCAAGTCTGAGAAGCATTGTTGTAGGTGATAAAAAGACAAGGATCAGGTGCCTGGGTGGCTCAGTCAGTTAAGCGTCTGCCTTTGGCTCAGGTCATGACCCTGGAGTCCAAGATCGAGCCCTGCATTGGGCTCCCCGCTCAGTGGGGAGTCTGCTTCTCCCTCTGACCCTCCCCCCCCTCATGCTTTCTCTCTCTCAAATAAATAAATAAAATCTTAAAAAAAAGGCAAGGATCATTTCTGAGGATCTTATATACAGGATAACAAGACACACTTCTGGGAAGACAAGAGAATTTTTAAAAACCTCACCATTAACAGTCAAATGAGACATCAGCTCCTTCATGTCTTCTTCTGTGAGCTCGATCCCCTCATTTGCTAGAAATTTGTCTAAGTCCTGGATATCAATCACCTCTCCTTAGAAAAATTAAGAAATAAATTGTAGAAATATTATAGAACTATCTATAAAGGATGAAAAATGTTATCTGTACTTATATATATGATTGCTCACATATGCTCAGGATTCACAGGAGGGTCAGAAAACAGTCTTGTGTTGGGGTGCCTAGTGGCACAGTTGGTTAAGCATCCAACTCTTGGTTTTGCCTCAGGTCCTGATCTCAGGGTCCTGAGATAGAGCCCCGTTTCAGGCAGGCTCCGTGCTCAGTGCAGGGTCTGCACCCGGAGCCTGCTTGAGATTCTCTCTTCTCTCCCTGCCCCTCCTGCTTGAGCTCTCTCTCTCTAAAATGAATGAATAAGTCAAGCAGAGAAAGTCAATTATCATATGGTTTCACTTACTTGTGGAACATAAGGAATAGCATGGAGGACATTAGGAGAAGGAAGGGAAAAATGAAGGGGGGGAAATCGGAGGGAGAGATGAACCATGAGAGACTATGGACTCTGAGAAACAAACTGAGGGTTTTAGAGGGGAGGGGGGGTGGGGGATAAGTTAGCCCAGTGATGGGTATTAAGGACGGCACGTACTGCATGGAGCACTGGGTGTTATACGAAGACAATGAATTGTGGATCACCACATCAAGAACTAATGATGTATTGTTTGGTGACTAACATAACATAATAAAATAAAATTAAAATAAATAAATAAATAAAATGAATGAATAAATTAAGAAAAGAAAAAAAGTTCTGTGTCTTTAATTCTGGTGGCTACAAAAAAGAAAGTACACCATGGGTTAGGAATTGACTGGTGACTTACTGCAAAATCCATAGTAAATCAAGCTGCATACAGGGATTTGGTTTTATTTTTACTTTTCCTCCTACTCTACTTGAAAATTCAGTGTTTTTCTATAGACCAGCTTTTAAGATTTTATTTTTACTTAAAAATATTTGCTTGGAGTTTGCTTCTCTGATCATTATGCATTCCAAGATTTTTATTCATCTCAACACAGAAGTAATTTTTTCTCATTCATCATAAAAACAATGCAACAACATTAAAGATTAATAAAGGGGAGGGGCGCCTGGGTGGCTCAGTTGGTTGGGCGACTGCCTTCGGCTCAGGTCGTGATCCTGGAGTCCCGGGATCGAGTCCCGCGTCGGGCTCCCTGCTCGGCGGGGAGTCTGCTTCTCCCTCTGACCCTCCCCCCTCTCATGCCCTCTGTCTCTCATCCTCTCTCTCTCAAATAAATAAATAAAATCTTTAAAAAAAATAAATAAAAAGATTAATAAAGGGGAAAAATATAATTCCACTATCCTACCACAAAAACCATTGGAGTTTTTCATATTCCATTTCTGGCCTTTGACAATAAGGCTATACTTTCATTGTGTGGAAATCTAATATACACACAATTCTGTATTTTGCTTTTCTGACCTAATATTACATCATTAACATATTTCCAAACTGCCACATAATCTTGACAGTTAACGTTTCAACACATGAGATCCCACCAGCCTAGCAGGCCATGGTGTATGTAGTAATTCCCATACTGTTAGATGTTAGGATGTTTCAAATTTCTCTGAAAGGCTTTAGGCAGAGATTTTTTTTCTTTTATTCAGCTTAATTATTTCCAGAGGATAAATTCCTGGGAGTAGGGTTCGTGGGGGAAAAGGAATAGTTCTTTGGCCCTTCATACCTAGTACTATGTTGAAAAACTCTTTTGGGGAAAATTTCAGAGAATGTCATGGGCATTGATATATAAACACACATTAATTATTGTTTACCCAAGTTCAGAAGCATCCATAAAACAGAACACATATGAAAGAATTTAAACACATATGAAGGGGAAATATTTTTCTCCACCAATTGCAAAATACTCAGATGTTATGTATAATATCATTTCATCATAGCTTGCGACTTACCCTTGATGCAACTGACAGTATCCATCAAATCATTCAGACCAACTGTTCTATCATCTGTAAGGCAAGGGAAATAAACTTCAGAATCAGATAAGCTGATATTACTGAGACCCTGAAACTATGAAGACCAGAAGAATTCAGCAATTTTCCCCCAAAATTTCCTTAGAATTTTACAGACTTATCCTCAGAGATAATAGTGCTATCTTAGAAATGAAGAAAGTTTTCGATCTATAATGAATCATTCTTTTTTTTTTTTTTAAAGATTTTATTTATTTATTTGACAGAGAGAGACACAGCGAGAGAGGGAACACAAGCAGGGGGAGTGGGAGAGGGAGAAGCAGGCTCCCCGCAGAGCAGGGAGCCTGATGCGGGACTCGATCCCAGGACCCTGGGATCATGACCTGAGCTGAAGGCAGTCGCTTAACCAACTGAGCCACCCAGGCGCCCTATAATGAATCATTCTTGTATCTCCCTTTTTCCTTTGCTTTAGAGACCACCAGAGTAACATTAAATTAAGAAGTGATTCATTCTACAGGTAAGTATAGGGAGAGAGGACAAATGAACCTGACCCTGAGTATTTTTTTTTTACGTAGTCAGTTAATCAACAAATATTTAGGGGGTAGCTTCTATGTGCCAGGCACTTTGCTAGGCTTTGGGGATACAAAAGTAAACCAGCTTGCAGAGTTCTTGCTGTCGAGGAGTGTACATCTAGCAGAGGGAAACAGACAACATGTAAACAAAACAAAAAGGATCATTTGAGGTACTGTTAAGAAGTTATCAAAATAAAATAGGGTTATATAATAAACAGTAATGGTAGGCTGCGTTAGACAGGGAAATCAGGGAAGGCCTCTCTGAGGAGGGTCTATTTGGGTTGAGGCCTGAATGATGAGAAGAGGATGGTCATGTAAAGAACTAGGGGAGGAACATTCCAACTAGAAAAACAGTACGTGTGACAGCCTTAAGATGGGGATGAATTTGAGCTATTTACCTGGGCTGTCTAAGCTTCCTCACATAGTATCAGTTGCTGCTTTTTGTTATGATTGAGGGGCAGAGAAAAGGCTGGTGTGACACGGGCCAGATCATGAAGGGCACTGTTGGCTCCTGACGATAAAGTTGGGATTTAGGTCTGGTTGCAACAGAATGTCACTGGAGGCCATGAAGAAGGGGAGTAATTTAACCTGATTTCAGCTTTCAAAAGATCACTCTGGCTGATGTGTGCAGGATGGGGAAACCGGGGGAATGGGGACTAGATAGGACTAGACAGGAGACGGTTTCAGTGGCCAGGAAAGAGATATTGGTGTCTTAGGCTATGGCTGCAGCAGTAGAGGCAGTGATAAATGGATTTAGGACATATTATTCAGGTAGAGCCTAGACTTAAATGTGGGATATAAGGGAAAGGAGAAATCAAGGGAGAAAACTATTCATCTTCCTTCACCCCCCACCTTCTCACTCAGCAGGGTAGAAGGGATGCCATTACTGAGATGGGGAAGGCTTAAGGCTTTTTAAGGGAATTAATTACTATTCCATTAAATTCGTGATTCCTTTTGGACATCTAAGTGGAGATATCAAATAGATAGTTTGAGATACCATTCCTGACTTAGGGACATTGAGCTGGAGATATATATTTGCTTTTATCAGCTTAAAGAAGGTATCTGACCCAATGAGACTGGATGCAATCTCCTAGGAAGAAGATGTAGATAAAAAAGACAGCCAAGAGTCTAGTCCTGGACACTTCATTATTTAGAAATCTTGCAGAGGAAAAAGTCAGAAACTGAAAAGGAAACTAAGAAGCTCTCAGTGAGGAAAGAAGAAAACCTGAACAGACCTATAACCACTAAGGAAATTGAAGCAGTCATCAAAAATCTCCCAAAAACAAAAGCCCAGGGCCAGATGGCTTCCCAGGGGAATTCTACCAAACATTTAAAGAAGAATTAATACATATTCTTCTGAAACTGTTCCAAAAAATAGAAATGGAAGGAAAACTTCCAAACTCGTTTTATGAGGCCACCATTACCTTGATCCCCAAACCTGACAAAGACCCCATCAAAAAGGAGAACTACAGACCAATATCCTTGATGAACATGGATGCAAAAATTCTCACGAAAATACTAGCCAATAGGATCCAACAATACATTAAAAGGATTATTCACGATGAGCAAGTGGGATTTATCCCTGGGCTGCAAGGTTGGTTCAACATCCACAAATCAATCAATGTGATACAATACACGAATAAAAGAAAGAACAAGAACTATATGATCCTCTCAATAGATGCAGAAAAAGCATTTGACAAAGTACAGCATCCTCTCTTGATCAAAACTCTTCAGAGTATAGGGATAGAGGGTACATACCTCAATATCATAAAGCCATCTATGAAAAACCCACAGCAAATATCCTTCTCAATGGGGAAAAACTGAGAGCTTTCCCCCTAAGGTCAGGAACATGGCAGGTATGTCCACTATCACCACTGCTATTCAACATAGTATTAGAAGTCCTAGCCACAGCAACCAGACAACAAAAAGAAATAAAAGGCATCCAAACCAGCAAAGAAGAAGTCAAACTGTCACTCTTTGCAGATGATATGATACTTAATGTGGAAAACCCAAAAGACTCCACCCCAAAACTGCTAGAACTCCTACAGGAATTCAGTAAAGTGGCAGGATATAAAATCAATGCACAGAAATCAGTGGCATTCCTATACACCAACAACAAGACAGAAGAAAGAGAAATTAAGGAGTCGATCCCATTTACAATTGCACCCAAAACCATAAGCTACGTAGGAATAAATCTAACCAAAGAGGCAAAAAATCTGTACTCAGAAAACTATAAAATACTCATGAAAGAAATTGAGGAAGACACAAAGAAATGGAAAAATGTTCCATGCTCATGGATTGGAAGAACAAATATTGTGAAGATGTAAATGCTACCTAGAGCAATCTACACATTCAATGCAATCCCCATAAAAATACCATCCACTTTTTTCAAAGAAATGGAACAAATAATCCTAAGATTTGTATGGAACCAGAAAAGACCCCGAATAGCCAGAGGAATGTTGAAAAGAAAAGCAAAGCTGGCGGCATCACAATTCCTGACTTCAAGCTCTATTACAAAGCTGTCATCATCAAGACAGTATGGTACTGGCACAAAAACAGACATATAGATCAATGGAACAGAATAGAGAGCCCAGAAATGGACCCTCAACTTTATGGTCAACTAATCTTTGACAAAGCAGGAAAGACTGTCCAATGGAAAAAAGAGTCTCTTCAACAAATGCTGTTGGGAAAATTGGACAGCCACATGCAGAAGAACGAAACTGGACCATTTCCTTACACCACACACAAAAATAGACTCCAAATGGTTGAAAGACCTCAATGTGAGACAGGAGTCCATCAAAATCCTAAAGGAGAACACAGGCAGCAACCTCTTGGACCTCAGCCGCTGCAACTTCTTCCTAGAAACATCGCCAAAGGCAAGGGAAGCAAGGGCAAAAAAGAACTATTGGGACTTCATCAAGATAAAGAGCTTTTGCACAGCAAAAGAAACAGTCCACAAAACCAAAAGACAACCGACAGAATGGGAGAAGATATTTGCAAATGACATATCAGATATAGGGCTAGTATCCAAAATCTATAAAGAACTTATCAAACTCAACACCCAAAGAACAAATCATCCAATCAAGAAATGGATAGAAGACATGAACAGACATTTTTCCAAAGAAGACATCCAAATGGCCAACAGACACATGAAAAAGTGCTCAACATCGCTTGGCATCAGGGAAATCCAAATCAAAACCTCAATGAGATACCACCTCACACCAGTCAGAATGGCTAAAAATAACAAGTCAGGAAATGACAGATGTTGGCAGGGATGCGGGGAAAGGGGAACCCTCCTACACTGTTGGTGGGAATGCAAGCTGGTGCAGCCACTCTGGAAAACAGATGGAGGTTCCTCCCAAAAGTTGAAAATAGAACTACCATACGATCCAGCAATTGCACTACTGGGTATTTACCCCAAAGAGACAAACGTAGGGATCTGAAGGGGTACGTGCACCCCAATGTTTATAGCAGCAATGTCCACAATAGCCAAATGGTGGAAAGAGCCAAGATGTCCATTGACAGATGAATGGATAAAGAAGATGTGGTGTACCTCTGAAACAAATAATACATTATATGTTTAAAAAAAAAAGAAGATAGCAGGAGGGGAAGAATGAAGGGGGGGAAATCGGAGGGGGAGTCGAACCATGAGAGACTATGGACTCTGAAAAACAAACTGAGGGTTCTAGAGAGGAGGGGGGTGGGGGGATGTGTTAGCCTGGTGATGGGTATTGGGGAGGGCACGTTCTGCATGGAGCACTGGGTGTTGTGCGCAAGCAATGGATCATGGAGCACTGCATCAAAAACTAATGATGTGATGTGTGGTGATTAACATAACATAAAAAAAAAAGAGTGAATGGGAGTGAAGAAGTAGAGACAAAAAGTAACCACAAGTTTAGGGTTTTTTTTCTGACGTATACTTGACACACAATGTTACATTAGTTTCAGGTGTACAACATAGTGATTTGACAAGTTTATAATTATGCTGTGTTCACCACAAGTGTGGCTAAGTAATGACAATGTTTTGAGAGGTTCTGCTGGGAAGAGGGACTAAGAGGTGGAGTGGTAGCAGCAGGGGATGAGGGGAAGACGAATGCATTATCTGCAAGTCAGTGGCATCTCTAGAGAGATACAGTAGAGAGGGAGAAAGTGATGGCACAGGAGAGAAAGGCGGGAAACTGCAGGAGTTCAGTCTTTGAGAAAGCAGGTGGAGGGGTGCCTGGGTGGCTCAGTTGTTAAGCGTCTGCCTTCGGCTCAGGTCACGATCCTGGGGTCCTGGGATCGAGCCCCGTGTCGGGCTCCCTGCTTGGCGGGGAGCCTGCTTCTCCCTCTGCCACTCCCCCTGCTTGTGTTCCCTCTCTCGCTGTGTCTATCTCTTCAAATAAATAAAATCTTTAAAAAAAAAAAAAAAAAGAGAAAGCAGGTGGGAAAGAGATCCAGGGCACAAGTGGAAGGGCCAGCCCACCATGGGAGCTGAGATTGCCGTGTGGCTGGTGAGGAGCTAGAGCTGGAATTCTGCACTCTGTTCTGCTACAGCATCTGCTCAGTAGCACCAATTCATCCCATTCAGTTGCTGAATGGAAGAATGTCAGAGCAATGTGGACAGTGTTCATTCACACACATTTTTTCTTAAGTGAAAGAATTAGAATTAAGAATGTCAGAAGGAAAAGAAAAATTCTGAGTTGGCTATGGCAGGGGCCTTTTCAGTTCTATTTTAATACAATTTTTAAAAATAAGTGCCTGTAATATAGGAAGGGGACCCAGGCTCACTGGCTCAGGGTTCTACTTCCATCTACATTATTTCAGAGCTGCAAGCTAGCTTTTCGACTCTTTCCTTGTGGGTGTGTGTGTATCTTTTTTTAATAGTCTCCAGCTACTCTGAGCTATCTACCTGGGCTGTCTAAGCTTCCTCACATGGTATCAATTGCTGTTTTTGTTAGTGTTCTGGTTACAAAGTGGTATACATTTTGAATGGGCTTCTCCAATTTTCCCCATAAGCTCACTTTAGTGGGCAATTTTAATTTTACAGAAAGGGAGGGTTTTCAGGCATTCTTACATTGTGCTATGGCAGAGATGTTTGCATAGTAAATAAACTGGAAGGATAAAGGTCAGAGAGTGGGTAGATGAAATAGAGATTTTGGGGGTGATGAAGTATTAAGTGAGGACAAGGTCTAGGTCCTCAATATCAGGCGTTAATTAGGATTTAATCAGGATTTCTTAACCTGTGGTCTATGGACCCTCTAATGATAGAATTCAGGGAATCCTTGAGTTTGAATGGGGAAAAAATATAGTTGACCCTTGAATGACATGGGTTTGAACTATAGGGGGCCACTTTTACATGGACTTTTTTGATAAATACAGTACAGTTCTGTAAATATATTTTTTCTTCCTTATGATTTTCTTTTTTTTTTTTTTTTAAAGATTTTATTTATTTATTTGACAGAGAGAGACAAAGCAAGAGAGGGAACACAAGCAGGGGGAGTGGGAGAGGGAGAAACAGGCTTCCCATGGAGCAGGGAGCCCGATGAGGGGCTCGATCCCAGGACCCCGGGATCATGACCTGAGCCGAAGGCAGACGCTTAATGACAGCCACCCAGGCGCCCCTCTTCCTTATGATTTTCTTAATAACATCTTATTTTCTCTAGCTTACTTTATTGTAAGAATATAGTAGCGTTCCATGATTCATGGTTTTCGTATAACAGCCAGTGGTCCATGCAATATGTGCCCTCCTTAATACCCGTCACTGGGCTAACCCAACCCCCCCCAAAACCCTCAGTTTGTTTCTCGGAGTCTATAGTCTCTCATGGTTCGTCTCCCCCTTGTACTGTATGGTGACTAACATAACATAATAAAATAAAATTAAATTAAAAAAAAGAATATAGTATATAATACATATAACATATATGTGTTGATTGACTTATGCTACTGTTAAGGCATTCAGTCAACAGTAGGCTATTAGTAATTAAGTTTTTGGGGAGTCAAAAGTTATATGCAGGGTGCCTGGGTGGCTCAGTTGGTCAAACATCTGCCTTCACCTCAGGTCATGGTCCCAGGGTCCTGGGATTGAGCCCCACATCGGGCTCCCTGTTCAGCAGGGAGTCTGCTTCTCCCTCTTCCCCTCCCCCCTGCTCGTGATCTCTCTCTCTCAAATAAATAAATAAAATCTTAAAAAAAATAATTACATGCAGATTTCCAACTGCACAGTGGGCTGGTGCCCCTAACTCCCACATTGTCCAAGGGGCAACTGTATATCTTTATTTTCACTAACAACTAACTTAAATTTAGCATTTTCTTCAATTATTATTAGTGTAGTAGTAGCAAAACCTATGACTTTGTTAGTAATACAAATCACTGACACTTTCATATTATATGGTAGTTGTTGCGAATGTGTTGAAAAGTTGTTTAGGCTCATCACTACTTTAAAATTCTAATAATTATTAGATCTACTACTAGAACTTGTTAAATGTGTTAAGTGTTAATAATTGATATCTTTAATGTTTTGATACATTCTATTTTAATATAATTAATTCCTTTGTAATCTTACGTATTTTGTTTTATGCATTTAAAAATATTATACTCAGAAGTGATCCATTCATCATACCGTCAAAGGGGTCTATTGCACAGTAAAGTCAAAAGCCCTAATCTATATGGAAGATATTGAAGTTGCCAAGAATAAGAACAGCAGTATTGGAGGAGGCAGCCAGTGAGCCCAGTGATTTCTTGTAAAATGCTCTAGTTGCATCTTACCTATTTATTTATATAAAGGTCATAATTAGTAAACAAATATTTATTCTATTAGGACTTATATTTTTATAACTGCCAAAACTAATTTATAGGTCACAGAATTTCTGTTTCTTCTTCCTTTTGTTCTTCTTCAACATCTTCTCCATCTTCTCCATCATCTTCACCACTACCACCATCATCATGACAAACATTTACTGAGTATTCTAGACACTGCCTTAAGTACTTAACATGTATTATCTATATTGATTTCAGAGCAAGAAGTGACCATAGAGAATCATTTAGTTCAGCTTCCCATTTAACATACGAAGACACTAACATTTGGTAGGGTTAAATTATTTGCCAGCAATTTAGTGGCAGAACAAAGACAAGGCCTCAGTACAAAGAAATGCTAATACAATAGATGAGGCATGTAGCCTGGATTCACCAGGGAAAAGGGAATTTTTTTCCCCCATTGATAATGCCAAATGACTTTTCCAAGAAGATATATAGCAGTGGTAACTCTCACCTGAAATATGTCAGGGAGTCCCTTTCCTCATACCCTCACCAGAAGTAGACGTTATCAGTCTTGCTAATTTTTCCTGTCCAATGAGTGAAAATAATACTGTATATTTTGTTTTATTTATATTTTCATGATTATTGATGAGGTTAGACATCTTTTCACATGTTACTGGGCATTTACGTTCCTCTTTCATGAATTATCTATTTGTATATTTGCCTATTTTTCTACTCTCAGTATGTTTTTTTTTTTATCAATGTGTGAAGGCTTTTTCTACTTTGGGGTACTAGCTCTTTGCCTTACAACCATTTTCTCCTAATTCATCATTTGATTTCTGACTTTGTTAATTTTTCTCTTAAATGTTCCCTTATGAACAAGTTCCTTTATACATGAGGTAAAAAAAATGTCACTTTTCTTTCAGCGACTTATATGTGTGGCATTCCCAGGCATGGCTGAGTTTTGCAAGTAGTATCCCTAACAGATATTTTAAAAAGCATTTTTGGAGATAGTATTTCCTAATAAGTCAGGATTAAGTTTTTCTATTTACATTTACTTCATTAAATACTACAAAGGCAGGCTACTTTCAGCAGTCCTGATAGAAGTGTTCACTATTTCTTTGAAGAGCAAAATGATGCCCGTAACACTCACCATCAGTTGACAGTTGGGCCATTAGTTCCTCAAGTTCCTCATCCTTGAGTTTAATCCCCATGTTTTCCATTACAGATTTCACTTTTCTGAGTTTGACCCTTGGTCCTTAGGAAAGAAGGTCATGGAATAAGAACATGAATATTGGTGCTTAAGGGTGAAAAATGCTAATCATGGTCATGCATCATAAATCCCAACTAGAGGGTAAACCACAAGGGCACAAAGAAACTATTAATATATTTATCTCCCAAATTTAGATATGTTTGTTGAAAGTAGGAAAAAATTGAGAAAGATAACCATTGAGAAAAAGGTAAACAGTAAACAGTATTTACCTTTATGGGGAGGTATGAGATTAGTGGAAGGTAGGGGGACTCTCACTTTTAAAAAAATTGAGATATAATTGACATATAAATATCATGTCAGTTTTATATGTACAACATAATGATTTAGTATTTGTATATATTATAATGTGATCACCACAATAATTCTTGTTAACATCCATCACCACACAAGTTACAAGTTTTTTCTTCTTGTGGTGAGAACTTTTAAAATCTACTCTCTTATACTTTCAAATATACAACACGGTATCATTAACCATAGTCACCATGCTTTACATTAGATCCCCATGACTTGACTTACACTTCTTTTATCAGTTTTCCAAGTGGTAGAATTGGATAGTTTTCTTATAGTAGTTGCTGTTTTAAAAATATTTTTCCAATTAAAAATAAAAAATATAATTGTTTACAACAGAATTAGTATAAGGAGTAGGGATAGGATATTTTCCTTAATACCCATCCAGGGCACTTTACTTCAGTTTTTTTTTTTTAAGATTTTATTTATTTATTTGACAGAGAAAGAGAAAAGAAGAAGAGAGAGCACAAGCAAGGGGAGCTGCAGGCAGAGGGAGAGGGAGAACAGGCTCCCCGCAGAGCAGGGAGCCTGATGCGGGGCTTGAACCCAGGACCCTGGGATCATGACCTGAGCTGAAGGCAAACGCTCAACCAGTTGAGCCACCCAGACACCCTTCAGTTTTCCATGAGAGGTGAACAGGGAGAATTGGCACATCTACCTGTGGTTGAAACAACAACCAGTCTGTACAGTTCTGGGTGTTTACTAGAAAACAGTGTTAGAACTTCTTACAGTAAGAGGATACTTTCCTTATATGCCAAAATGTCAACATACCCAAAGAAAAATGGTAAGTTGAGTCCATAACAATGGATCAAAAAATTGGCAAGAAGCAGGGGCACCTGGGTGGCTCAGTTGGTTAAGCATCTGACTCTTGATTTCGGCTCAGGTCATGATCTCCAAATCGTGAGATCGATCCCTGTATCGGGCTCTGTGCTCAGCAGAGTCGGCTTGAGATTCTCTTTCCCTCTCCCTCTGCCCCTCCTCCCACTCACGCAGACACACATGCTCGCTTTCTAAATAAATAAAATCTTAAAAAAAAAAATTGGCAAGAAGCAAAGTTGGAACATTTCAAAGCAAACGGTAAACATGAGGATTTTATTTTTATTTGCTCTTTCACTGTGTTTCTCACTCACCACTGAGGGCCTTCACACCTTTTAGCAATCTATTTTTATATACTTTTCCATCAGCTGTAAGACAAGCACAATTAAGAATAGAGGTTAATGAAGGAAAGATTAACAAAGACAGCACAAAGACAATACAACATCCATAATTTCAGGGGGAAAAAAACCCTTCAGATTTGTTTAGGATTTTATTTTATTTTACTCTCAAGTAAGAATGAAACCAAAGATAAAGAAAGCTTTCACTGATATAAACCTACCTATTATTGAATTAAAAATTCTTTATCTCCCTATTTCTCCCCTTTTCCTTCCTACTCTTACTCTCCTGGTTTTTCTTTTTCCCTTGGTCATGACTTAGGTGAGGTGATGCTCCAGGGCGACAGGATGGATAATTTAGCCTTGATGATGGGGACCAGTGAAAGATGTTGCCAATTTTCAATATTAAAATGTAAGTGATAAGAACAGAATTTCTTCTTTTGTGAAACTGTGCTTTCTAAATGGGTTTTACTGGACATACACATATATAATTTCAGCAGTTTTCACACACAAGCCCATAAATCCGGGTTTCAAAGATGTGCTAAATACTCACCATGAATGGGTAGAGTTTTTAGCAGCTGCTGCTCCTCCTCATCAGTGAGTACTAGCCCCATTTTCCTCATCACATTGCTCAGATTATTGACATTAACTTTCTCTCCTTTGGAAAGATGGAAATTGTTAACATATAAGAATTTTAGAAATGGATGAAGGATTTCAAATGGTGAAAAAGATAACCTAAGTGGAATTAGAAGTGCAAATTGACAATGAAACTTGTTAACCTATATAGATTCTGAGTACATGTGGGTGTATAGATCATGTCAGAAATAGAATTTATACTTTTAATTCAAGCAAAAGAAAAGCATATATAATCCCGGATATAAGTCAAATACCAATATATTTCCTGAATTATGGGGTCTTTTGACACAATGACCATATTTCCTGGCTGTCCTACAAAAGCTTCACCTTGAGATTGAATAGAGTTCACCTATAGTTTGGTTGTTTAAACAGTGGTGAAGTAGAAAACATTATTGGCCCAAACTCCACATAATATAGGTCTATACAGGAAAAATACCAAATTAAACAGTAAGATTATAAAACAAACATTTAACCATTAAATGTGTAGGGGTAAAACTTAGCATGTCAGTAATAGCCTGAAGAGAAAACTACTATTTAACAACATCTTTTTTTTTTTCTATAAAGCATTAAGGTCTCAGTTAATAATGAATTCCGTGTTTACCACAACTTCTTACCTGTAAAAGCTTTTGCGTCATCCATCACCACATTCAAATCAACCATTTTATTCTCTGTAAGAGAAGACAATTCAGGCACAGAGATCAAATCTTAGACTTAGAAAAATGATGTGAAAAATTTAAGTTGTAATACAAAGGGTTGCAATTCAGCAGCGACAGGTAGGGGCAGCAGACGTGTGCGGGCCACAGTGGCCTGCCTGCCTTAGCCACACCTGCCTACTTCCTATTAGTTTAGAATAGATACCCCGAATTAGGGAAGAAGGACAATTTTGGTTTGGCATGTGCAGGCTGTGTGGAAAGATGTGCTGTCTGGCTGTCTTACAAGTTGTTTTTCATCAAGTTTTTTTTTTTTTTTTAAGATTTTATTTATTTATTTGAGAAACAGAGAGTGAGAGAGAGCATGAGCAGGGGAGAGGCAGAGGGAGAAGCAGACCTACCCCCTGAGCAGGGAGCCTGAAGCGGGGTTCCAACCCAGGACCTCAAAATCATGACCTGAGCAGACGCTTAACCGACTGAGCCACCCAGGCACCCCTTGCATGAAGTTTTTAATGGGAAGCCACTGGCTCTGCATTTGAATCTATGAACCCTCTAATTCAGGAACTTTTAGCCTGGGGCTCACCCCTTAGCAAATCCTTTCTAATGAATTCTACTATCTTTGCCTCTGTGACATTTTTATCCAGCTAAATTGGTCTTATTCAGTCATTAATGAAACTTTATCTTATTAAAAAAAAAGTGTACAAGGAAGGGATGGAAGGAGGATATATGAAAGAAATATGGCAAAATGGCAACATTTATTGATTCTAGCCAGTGGATACACAAGTGTTTGTTACAGTGTTTGTTTTCTGTTTTGATAGATGTTTGAAATATTTCATAAGTTTTTCAAAGATATTAAAAAATAGCTTTACTTTCAGAAGCCCTCAGATAGAAAATCTAAGATTTGCCCTGAGGTGCAGTGGTATCTGAAATACTTACCGTCAATGGGCAGGTGGTTCAGTAAGTCCTGAAAGTCCTCTTTCTCAAGCTGAATCCCCATGTTCTTTGCAAGGGTGTTCAGGTTCTTGACACTGACTTTTTTCCCTTAGGAAAGAAGAGGATGTAAATAATTCAAGTAAGTCCAGGGAGTAGAAGATGCTAGCCTTGAGTACGCATCCACCGTAAGTGCGGTGAAACACTGGCCATTTAAATGAACCCGGATAGTCAGTGTTGGAGTTGAGAGGAGAAAATTCTCCCTCAACATTGTGCTATAACTTTTAACTGAACTAATCATGGATGAAAAAGAAGAATTAGATAAGTCTGATGAATTGATGAAGATAACCAACGTAAATGAAATCAAAATCTCAAACTTGCTGCATATTACTAAGAATAACTTCCTCAAATGTAGTTATCCTGAAAGAAGGGTAGTGGGTTATGAAGCATAAGTTCAGTGTCACTGTACTAGTAGAATAATGGCATGGCGGGGCGCCTGGGTGGCTCAGTTGTTAAGCGTCTGCCTTCAGCTCAGGTCATGATCCCAGGGTCCTGGGATCGAGTCCCGCATCGGGCTCCCTGCTCCTTGGGAGGCTGCTTCTCCCTCTGCCTCTCTCTCTCTCTCTCTGTCTCTCATGAATAAATAAAGAAAAAATCTTTAAAAAAAAAAAAGAAAATGCATTTAAATAAAATTTGACTTAACCAAGTCTTACATTTGAAAATATGTTTCTTCTACTGTGATGCAGAAGGTAGGATGACCAGTTATGGTAAATAGAATTAAGGCCATATACATTTCTATTCTAGAAGATCTATTTGGTACTCAGAATAGAATCTTCTAAAAATTATTAGTCTCACGTTAAAGTGGGACATTATTCTCTTTTGTTAGCTTTTTTTTACCAATCAATTCTTTAGCTTCTAATAACGTGCCACATAATGTGCCAGGTACCCACCAAGATGTGTAAGTCATGGGCCCTGCCTTCCAGGAACATCTCACAGATGGTGGAAGACATGCAAATAATACACAGATGTGTACAAAAAATAATAGCACGGTGAATGCTGCTGCACAGATGTGAGCAGTGCACACTGAGGGTGGAACACAGGAGTCTAGGGCGCCTGGGTGGCTCAGTTGGTTAAGCGTCTGCCTTCGGCTCAGGTCATGATCCCAGGGTCCTGGGATCGAGCCCCGCGTCAGGCTCCCTGCTCGGCAGGAAACCTGCTTCTCCCTCTCCCACTCCCCCTGCTTGTGTTCCTGCTCTCGCTCTCTCTCTGTCAAATAAATAAATAAAATCTTTAAAAAAAATAAAGAATAATGGCATGGCATGATTCTAATCAGAAATCTAAAAAAGCAAGTGCAAAGCATAATAAATTTTAGTTGCTGTTCTCATGATTCTTACCTTTGAGAGGCTTCACACTATTCAGTAATCTCTTCTTATATACCTTTCCATCTCCTGTGAGATAGGGTAAAATTCAAGTCAAAAGAAAAAGGATAAGGAACTCTATAATTTTATAAGGCATTTTATATAATTCCTCTGGAAATGTATTTGGCCGCACCCTCAAATAATAATAAAAGGAATGCCCACAACGTGGTCCATCTGTTTCCTAGTTGGAACACATGGCAGTAGCTGATGCAGGCTACAAATACACCCACATATGTGCTTCTTTCTTCTTAGCTTTCCCTTCTTTAACTGCATTTCATCCCCTCTGTCTTTCTCTTTTTCTTGCCTATGCTCTAGGCCCATAAAAGTATTCCTATAGGCTCAGCCTGAACGTAGTCTATAAAGGGATTTTATTAAAAATAGTTATCAACCCAAACAGTCGTATAAAACAGTATTTAAATAAATTTTGTTCTCTAAACAAACTGTTTTCATAAATGGAGGGGAAATTCAACAGGGGCAGAGAACAAGGGACATCGACCAGCCCAATCCATCGCCACAGGAGCTGTCTGTCCAATCAGAATCAAATACTGACAGTTTAAGCACATGGTCCTGGTGGTCCCCTGCTCTCAGGTGTTTATCTTTTAGTTGCTGGATTATGGGGAGATGGGAGGGCTATCAGGGCTAGCACTGAGGATGTGGGGCACATTCAGGGGGCTACAGAAGAATTTAGCTGTGTAGCGTTTGAAATATTTAGCAAGGGGCCCATTGACTGAATGGAAAAGAGAGGAATTTCTCACTTACAAGTTTCTCACTTCCAAACTAAAACACAAGTGACAAGAATGGGGTTTCTTACGTCTGGACTGCATTTTCCTTAGGGGGTTTCTTAGGGCATTAGACAATTCTCACCCAGAAGCCCACAGTACCACATTTCCCTGAGCACCATGATGGCATGTTAAACACTCACTAGAGATTGGCAGAGTTTTCAACAGCATCAACTGTTCTTTTTCAGTGGTCTCAATTCCCATATTTCTCAGCACATTTTTTAAGTCATTGGCTTCAACCTTTTCTCCTTTGAATAGATGGGAATTATTTCAGGTGACAATATTAAAAAATATAATTATTCTAAACTATGAAAAACATAATCCCACACAGCATTATTTCTAACTGCAGGATGAAGCTGAAATACATGAGCTGACTTCACTTACACAGAGTTATTGTAAAATTCAATACCTGAAAAGTTTCTTTAATCAAAATAAGAAGCTACTACTCCTATTCTGTATATGGGTCGATATAGCATGGAGTTAACTGCCCAATGACTTATGTTGGTATATAGAATATACATAGTTGTACTGGTAAGTAATATCTCTGTTACTGCTTCATGACCTGAATTATGGGACTGACCGTTCATAGTGACCATATTTCCTGATGCAAAAACTTCACATTGAAATCCACTGTGTTCACCTATATTTTGATTCTTTGAACACTAGAGAAATGAACACATTACTGGCCAAAATATTTGAGAGTGCCCACACTTCTAAATCTCTAATGATCTAAATTATTGTCAATAAGACAAAATCATCAATAAATAGGTAAAAGAGCAAAGCAAACTTATTAATGATGGCTGGAGGGGGTAAACGACTGCTTTAAAAAGGTATTTCTCTATAAGGCATCAAAATCTCAATTTTATGGGGCACCTGGGTGGCTCAGTCATTAAGCATCTGCCTTCAGCTCAGGTCATGGTCCCAGGGTCCTGGGATCGAGTCCCACATCAGGCTCCCTGCTCAGCAGGAAGCCTGCTTCTCCCTCTCCCACTCCCTCTACTTGTGTTCCCTCTCACTGTGTCTCTTTCAGTCAAATAAATAAAATCTTAAAAAAAAAATCTCAATTTTATGATGTCTTATACAAGTTCTCACTCACCTGTAAAAGCACTAGCTGCTTCCATCAACGTATCCAAATCAATCTTTTCATCTTCTGTAGGAAAATTCAGAATTTAGATTCAGATGAAGATAATGAGACTTGAAAAGTTAAATAAAATTCTATTTTTTTGAAGATTTAAAAAAAATTTTTAAGTAATCTCTACAACCAACGTGGGGTTTGAACTCATAACCCTGAGATCAAGAGTTGCATGCTCTACTGACTGAGCCAGCCAGGGGTCCCTGTATAAAATTCCTAAATAAAGATTTGGTGTATGGAATCCCAATAATTTTTCATGCTTTATTCTAAAATTTTTATCTACAGGAACCTATAACAAAAATTTCCGAGCTTTAAGTATATATCCATTCAATTAATATAACTTCTTTTTTATTTCATAAGCTATTAAAAACATATTTTTTTAAGATTTTATTTATTTATTTTGAGGAGAGAGAGGGAGAGAGTGAGCATGAACGGGGGGAGGGGCAAATGGAGAGGGAGAAGCAGACTCCCCACGGAGTGGGGAACCCGATATGGGGCTCGATCCCAGGACCCTGAGATCATGACCTGAGCTGAAGGCAGATGCTTAACCGACTGAGCCACCCAGGTGCCCTGAGCTATTAAAAATCTTTAGAGTGTTATGGTGAATGGAATGTTTTGTTTGTTTGAAGTCAGCTCCATCCTAGAGGTCAGGTTTCCTTCTTTCAGACCTAGTTCTCTTGCACTGAGTAGAAGGTTGAGATGGGTTAGAGCCACAGTTCTCAGAGTGTGGTCCAGGGACCACTGGAGTCACCCAATACCCTTTGCCTTTTACACTTTTGATGTCTGCACTGGTGGTTCAAAAGCAGGGGTGGGTGAAACTGCAGGCATCTTCGCATGAATCAAGGCCATGGCAACAAATGTACTAGCAGTCACTGTGTTCTTCATTGTACATACTTGTAGTAAAAGAATGTCAGTTTCATTTAAGAATGTTCTTGATAGGGGTACCCTGGGTGGCTCAGTCGTTAAGCATCTGCTGTCAAATAAATTAAATCTTTTAAAAAAAAAAGAGTGTTCTGCTAAAAAAAAAGCAGCAAAAGGTACTGATTTTATTAAATCTTAACCCTTGAGAACACACCTTTTTAATATTCTGTATAATGAATTGAGAAGTTTGTATAAAGCATGTCAGTTGCATATGAAAATACAATGGTTTCTTGAGGAAAAGAACTTGTATGATTGAGTTAAGCAAACTAGCTGCTTTTTCATGAATACCATTTTCACTTGCAAAAATGGACAAAATCTAGTTATTCAGAGTTTGGTATTTGGGAAGCATCTTCTTGAAAATGAACAAAGTGAGACTATTATCTTTTTTTTTTTTTTTTTAAGATTTTGTTTATTTATTTGACAGAGAGACACAGCAAGAGAGGGAACACAAGCAGTGGGAGTGGGAGAGGGAGAAGGAGGCTTCCCGTGGAGCAGGGAGCCTGATGCGGGGCTCAATCCCAGGACTCTGGGATCATGACCCGAGCCAAAGGCAGACGCTTAATGACTGAGCCACTCAGGCGCCACCGTGAGACTGTTATCTTAAGAAAACAATTGACAATAGATGTTTTAATGGTAGAGTTCAAGTTTTCAAACAAAAATTTAAATTTAGAAAAACTTATATCCACATCATGACTTGATAGGTTCTCAATACTTAAACATTTTTAAAATAAGATTGGTGGTGATATTAACAAATGTGATTTTTAAAAATTTATTTATTTGAGAAAGAAAGTCCAAGATGGCAGAGGATTAGGAGACCTTAGTTTCATCTGGTCCCAGGAATTCAGCTAGATAGCTATCAAATCATTCTGAACACCTGCGAACTCAAATGGAGATCTAAGAAAAGAACAGCTACAACTCCACAAATAGAAAAGCGACCACTTTCTGTGAGGTAGGAGGTCCAGAGAAGTGAATACAAGGCAATATATGGGAAGATAAACCGCGGGGGGAGAAAGCCTCTGAAAGCTAGCTACAGGAAAGTGATATAGCAGCCAAGTACAAAATTGGAACTTTTAGAAGTCTGCTCCAATGAGGGACTTCCTGGCCTGAAAAGTCTGCAGGTGGCTAAGCAGGGAGAGTGTGGTCTCAGGATCCCTGGGGTCACAGAAACACCAGGGCTGCCTGAGTGCGGCAGAGTTCTCAGGCATCGGAGTGGGGAAGCTGGCTGAAATCAACAAGCCCAGGAGTGGGCTCTCAGCTCCGGGTTGCCATAAACTTCAAACTGCAGCACAGTTGGGTGACTGCTCTCTGAGCAGGGGCCCAACAAGCAGCAGAACCAGTGAGACCCCCCCTTCCTCCCCAGGGAGGAGCAGTGTGGGAGCAAGATGCAGGAGTCTGCAGGGCTTGTAGACTCCAAACGGGGTCATGTGCCTGAGATAAAATGCTTGGTCACAGGCTGGGTGAGCATGGAGTGTGGCTGGAGACCAGGGAGACAGGAGTGATTGACTGCTTTTCTCTGAGGGCTCACTGAGGAGTGGGGCCCCAAGCTTTCAGCTCTGGGCCAGGCTGGAGATTGGGGGGCCACCATTTTCATTCTCATCCTCTAAAGCTGCGTGGAAAACCTTCAGGGAACAAAAGCCACAGAGAACAAACCCGAGCAGATTACTTAGCCTGGCCCCTGGCAAGGGCAGTACAATTCTGCCTGGGGCAAAGACACTTGAGAATCGAGGCAACCAGCCCCTCCTCCAGAAGATCAGCAAAAACATCCAGCCAAGACCAAGTTTACTAATCAATGAGAACTGCAAAACTAAAGCGCTAGGGGAATACAGCACATAGAATCCATGGCTTTTCCCCCATGATTGTTTAGTCTTTCAATTTAAATTAAAAAAAAAATTTTCCCCCTTTCTTTTTCAACCAATTTCTTATTTTAGCAATTTTTTTTAAATCTTTTTAAATTTTTATTTTTAGAGTTACATTCTATCCCTTCATTGTATTTAATTTTATTTTTCTATATATATAAGTTTTTCTTTCTTGACAATTTTGGGATGCAGTTTCTTCTAACAGACCAAAGTACACCCAAACTCTAGTGTATGGCTTTGTCCTATTCACCTATCTGATCATATTCTCTCTCTTTTTTCCTTCTTCCTTTTTTTTTTTTTTTTTGGTTAAAGTCTTTTTATATTTTCATCTTTACAGTTACATTCTATCTTTTCAATATATTTAATTTTATTTTTGTATATATGTAAGTTTTTCTTTTTTTTTTTTTAAAGATTTTATTTATTTATTTTGACAGAGAGAGACTCAGTGAGAGAGGGAACACAAGCAGGGGGAGTGGGAGAGGGAGAAGCAGGCTTCCCACCAAGCAGGGAGCCCGATGCGGGGCTTGATCCCAGGACCCTGGGATCATGACCTGAGCCAAAGGCAGATGCTTAACTGACTGAGCCACCCAGACACCCCCAGATTAATGATTATAAAGATACTAGCTGGACTTGAAAAAAGTATAGAAGACACTAGAGAATCCCTTTCTGGAAAAATAAAAGAACTAAAATCTAACCAAGTCAAAATCAAAAAGGCTACTAATGAGATGCAATAAAAAATGGAGGCTCTAACTGCTAGGATAAATGAGGCAGAAGAGAAAATTAGCGATATAGAAGACCAAATGATGGAAAATAGAAGCTGAGAAAAAGAGAGATAACTACTGGATCATGAGGGGAAAATTTGAGAGATAAGTGATATCATAAAGTGAAACAATGTTAGAATAATTGGGATCCCAGAAGAAGAGGAAAAAGAGAGAGGGGCAGAAGGTATATTGGAGCAAATTATAACAGAGAACTTCCCTAATCTGGGGAAGGAAAGAGGCATTAAAATCCAGGAGGCACAGAGAACCCCCCTCAAAATCAATAAAAATAGGTCAACACCTTGACATATAATAGTGAAAGTTACAAATCTCAGAGACAAAGAGAAAATTGTGAAAGTAGTTCAGGACAAGAGGTACATAACCTACAAGGCTAGAAACATTAGACTGGCAGAAGACCTATCAAAAGAGACCTGGCAGGCCAGAAAGGACTGGCATGATACATTCAGGGTGCTAAATGAGAAAAATATGCAGCCAAGAATACTTTATCCAGCTAGGATGTCATTCAAAATGGAAGGAGTGAATCCTGGAAGAATTCTTCCAGGACAAATGGAAACTAAAAGAATTTGTGACCAACAAACCAGTCCTACAAGAAATATTAAAAGGGATCCTTTAAGCAAAGAGAGAGCCCAAAAGTAGCATAGACCAGAAAGGAACAGAGACAGTATACAGAAACAGTGACTTTACATGTAATATAATGGCCCTAAATTCATATCTTTCAATAGTTACTTTGAATGTAAATGGGCTAAATGCCCCAATCAAAAGACACAGGGTATCAGATTGGATAAAAAAGCAAGACCCATCCATATGCTGCCTGTAAGAGACTCATTTTAGATCCAAAGATACCTCCAGATTGAAAGTGAGGGGGTGGAAAACCATTTATCATGCTAGAGGACATCAAAAGAAAGCTGGGGTAGCAAACCTTATATCAGACAAATTAGATTTTATTTTTTATTTTTTATTTTTAAAGATTTTGTTTGTTTATTTGAGAGAGAATGAGAGAGAGAGCACATGAGAGGGGGGAGGGTCAGAGGAAGAAGCAGACTCCCTGCCGAGCAGGGAGCCTGATGCGGGACTCGATCCAGGGATACCAGGATCATGACCTGAGCTGAAGGCAGTTGCTTAACCAACTGAGCCACCCAGGTGCCCAGAGACAAATTAGATTTTAAACCAAAGACTATAATAAGAGATGAGGAAGGACACTATATCATAATTAAAGGGTTTGTCCAACAAGATCTAACAATTGTAAATATTTATGCCCCTAACATGGAAGCAGCCAAATATATAAGCCAGTTAATAACAAAATCAAAGAAACACATTGATGATAATACAATAATAGTAGGGTACTTTAACATCCCCCTCACTGCAATGGACAGATCACCTAAGCAGAATATCAACAAGGAAATAAGGGTTTTGAATGACACACTGGACCAGATGGACTTCACAGATATATTCAGAACATTCC